GACAACAATGACAATTTCACCAGATTCTTTTTCATTCATTTTAAAATGCAGTCTTGGATACTAGATCATCTTATGGAATGATTGCTCATGTTTTTAGGTGTGACAAAATGTGGTTCTGTAAGAGGATGGCCTTGTTCTTAGAGGACACATGCTGAAGTATTTAGGAGCCAAGACCAAGGATGATTCAGCAGATATTCACATGTGTGCAAGCACGTGTGTGGATTCAGAGAGAGAGAGAAAACAAACAGCAGGAAATGTTAACAACTGCTGATTCGAGTGGAAAGTCCGTGGAGTTTACTGTGGTATTCTCTCAACTTTCCCATAGATTTAAATTTTTCAACAAATATTTGAGGGGAAAAAACTAGTTGAAACGTGATTCCAAGTTCATGGGGAGGGAATGGTCTCACTTCTCTTGAAAAGTCTACCTTCTCATTTCTCCCCAAACAGGCTAGCACTTCCTTTCGCCTCTCCACCCTTTTCTGGGGATGGATGATGGAAGCTGGGCCTGCCTTGTGTTCTTTCAGTGAGTTCTTTTGATAAGTGGCTGGTTCCAAAGCTGGGCCCTTGAATTTAGGCTGTGGGGTAGTTGGCTAACTTTGTCCTCAGCTTTGGTCCTAGTAGCAATTCTGGAGGTCCTGGAAAAATCCAATTTAACATCCTATTAATGAAATCTGAAGAACAGAGACTCCAGTTGGCTCCCAGCAGCTGATGTCTGATTCACATCCAGAGGCAGTGCCTGGGGGACCTTTGGAAATATGTGGAATTATTTTGTGATTGTCACAGTGACTTGGGCAAGAGTTACTTTGGGAGACTGTTCTAGAACTTTTTGACTTCATCTTCGACTGACCTCCCCATCCCTCCTGACACTCCAGCCCTCCAACCTGAAGCTTGTTCCCACCTCAGGGCCTTTGTCCTGGCCATTCCCCTCTCCCAGGAACACTGTTCCCTCAGATATGGGCATGACTCCCTTACTTCAGTCATGTCTCTGAACAAATGTTTTCTTTTCAGAGAGTGCTCTCTGACCACCTTGTGTAAAACCTTACCATCACTCTATCCATTCCCATTTTTTTCTTCAAAACATCACAACCAGCCATTGTATCACACATAATTTTTTTTTAAATGTTTTATTCTTTTCTTACAATATCAACTCCAGCAGAGCAGGATTTTTGTTCTTTTTTTCCCCCATGGCTATAGCTGTAGGTCCTAGAATAGTACCTGAAACATGGAAGGTGCTCAATAAATATCAATACATATTTTTGAATGAATGAATGAGCAAGTGGACACATTTTCCCATTAGCCAAAGCTCCTACCAGACTTTGAGATCCCTGAGGGCAGGATCTGCATGTGTCATTCTGTATCCTCTGCACTCTATATTTGGTAGAAGCAAGTATTCAGAAAATGCATGTGAAATAAAGAAAAAAAATACATGTGACAAAAACTAGATCAGTGGCTGCCTGGGGCTGGGGATGGGAAGCGACTGCAAGTGGGCACAAGAGGTCTTTTCAGGGTGATGGAAATGTTCTAAAATTAAATTGTGGTGATGACTGTACAACTCTGTAAAATCACCCCAAATCGTTAAAGCACTTAAAACGTGTGAATTTTATGATATGTAGATTAGACCTCAATAAAACCATTAAAGCAAAATATGAGTTGAGGGAATAAATGAATGCTCCCCAGGAGGTGCCCGGCCCGGGACACAGTAATCACTGAAACAACAACCCTTGTCCCTGCCCTCACAGTGACAGCCCAGCCCAGGGGGTGGGGAAGAATGGGGGAAACAGAGACGAAGGGGTCAGGGCCGCAATAGGGGAAGTATAGTTGGACCGCAGGAGCCCACTGCAGGCTGCCGATTCAGACGGGAGGAGTCAGAGAGCACCTCCTGGAGGCTCGAACGGCTGAGCCAGAGCCTGACAGATAATATTGCTCAGGACTACGGCTCTAATTTAAAAAAACAAACAAGACAAAACAAAACAAAAACCACTTTTTCTGCCTTAGCCATGGGTCTGGCGGGGCTCTCATTCAGAGCCAAGAATACGGCCCCTCCGAGGTGCAGAGGACAGGTCCACAAGGGGGTGCTGTTCTACCGCGCTTGTGCAGTATCTCCATTGACCCAAGCGGCCTGGCAAGAGCCCGAGGGTTGGAGGGCGTGTAGAGGCCAGGGGTTATTTGTGCGGAGAAGGTTTCCGCAGAGACCACTGCAACAGCAGCGGCCTGTAGCCCTGCGGCGGGCGGAGGGTACTGCTGAACGCCGGCGCGGTGGGGCGAATCTCTGGGAGACTACCACCTCGAGGGGCGGGGACCCATAAGGGGGTGGAGCCTCCCAAAGAGCACGGGGAAGGGGGTCCTGCGTGGGCTATTGCGAGGAGTGCTTCGCTGCTGTGGGGCTGGGCGAGGCTTTCCAAACATAACTGGAAAGGGGGCGCTGAACCAACGTGACCTCGATGAGGGCGGGATGGGGTGGCATCCGTAGGACGAGGTCACTCGGTAAGGCAAGGGCGTTAACTCGGTGTCCCTGGGTCTGTTCTGAGGCAGCCCAAGCCTGGGGGAGGTGGAGGGTGGGAGGTTAACCCCAGATCTATGGTCTCTGTGAAGGGAGAAGCACCAGGAACAGCGAGTCTCAATCAGGCGGGCGTGGGAGGGAAGATGGGGAAACTGGCTCAGAGGAGCCAGTGGGAGGTCCTGGCGAGATAATCCGTCTGGAGCTCCGCGGGACCAGAACATCTGCAGCTATGGGGTTATTGGGTGTGCGGCCGGGGGCGGGAGGGGGAGGTTGTCTGAAAAAGACTGCTCTGGGCACAGGGAAGAATGGTTTTGTGTAAAGATCAGCGTCTGGCAGGGAAGTGGGGCTTGACTCTGTCCCTGATTTGCTGTGCGCTGCATGGCCCCAGTTTCCCCATCAGTCCAACAGCTGGAATCATCTCTGTCTAAGTCCTGGGTCCTTTCTGCCCTTCTCACTCATCAGCAGTTTTCAGAGGTGAGTTGTGGAGATTTGCCTTTTCCGCAACCTGGCCCTGTGCTGGGACACCTATGTGGCTGAAACAGCCCCACATCCACCCTTCACACACAGTCCAGCGGGGCACCAGATAGTGACAGCCCAGGATGGGTCAGGCCTGGGATGGGGGCAACAGAGGTAGAGGGGTCAGGGCCAGGACAGGGGAAGCACAGGGCACTATAGGATCCGCGTGGGGAGCGGGTGTGTGTGTGTGTGGGGGGGTGCCTGCTTCGGCCTGAAGGGTCAAAGTCTATCTAAACTTTGAAAGTATTAGATGGGGGGGCAGGGCCTTGGAAGAGGGTCCACTTCTAAGAAGAGGAGATAACAAAGGTGCGTCAGGAAAGGTGTTCTAGGCAGAGGGAATGGCATCTGCAAAGGCTTGGAGATGAGAAAGTGTGGCTCATTTTCAGCAGAGTCCTTGACTCCCTCCCTGGGGAGCCACTTTGGTGCTCTGTCACATGTCCCCTAGTCCAGGATCTACAGCTGAGTGATAGGCTGTAAACTCTTGACGGTGGACACTAACTAGGCTTGTATTCTCACAGCCTGGTGGTTTAATGACTGATCTTGAGGTTGGTGTGAATCCCAGCACCTCCACTGATCAAGTATGTGACCTTGGTCAAGTGACCCAACTTTCCCATTCATCAAATGGGGATATATTACTGGGTTTCACCAAATCAATCACCTCATTTTAAAGAGCTATAAAGAATTAAACATATATATATATTTTAAAATATATATCTAGTAGATTGTATCAAGGGACCCAAGAAACAAAAGACTTAAAAACAACATGCTGCCACATCGGATGACACTTTGGCCTAAGTTACAGAAAACACAACTGACGACACAAGAATTTGCCAACTCAAAGATATACTATTCCAAACCTCATTATTTGAAATTTTAATACTGAACTTATTAGCAGCAGATTAGAATTTTTTTTAATTCTTTGGTTCAAAATCTGTAAGAATCAGAAATGGGGTGATTAATTTAGGGTACCCTTTACTACTCACCTCTCCAGTGTTGGGTCAGCTGTACCTGCTATGTTCTGGCTCAGAGGTCATTACACAGGGAGACCCTCCTGTTTTAGGGGATGACTCAGGAGGAAAGGCTGTGTGACCACACCATCCCCCCGGAAACACACCCCGCTTTCCCGAGGGGCACCATTATATTCTTCCTTTATTGGCTGTCCTTGTATAATACAAATCTGCAAGTTTAGATACAAAAAAATCTGGAAATAAAAGATAGAAAAGTACCCGCCAGGCACCCCTCCGCTTTCCTCTGGACCCCTCCCCAGCGGGCAACGAAGTGAGGTAACTGAGCAACTCCTTCCTCTTCCCTCTACCCCACTCCTGGGCCCCCAACTTGGCCCCTGTCCCCATGAGACCTTGGCCAGAGGAAGATGTGGGCCCGCAAGTGGGGGGAGGGGTGATAAGGGTAAGCACAGCATTGGCAGTGAACGCAGTGGGTGGGCAGAGGGAAGCCCTTTGCTTGTGCTGTGTATGGGGGAGGGGAAACCAGACTTGGGGTGGGCCCCTGTGTGGGGCCCAGTAGCGCCTCCAAGTGAGCATTCCTTCCCCATCCCACCCAACACTGGAAAGTAGAAGGTCAACAACAGAAACTGGGAAATGTAGCGTGAACCGAGGGCACTCAGTGGGACTGTGGCCATCCCCGTGTCTGGGGTGGGGGCAAAGGGCCATTGCCAGCCTAAGTCTGGCAGTGAAATGGGTCCCCTTAGTCAGGCTGGGTCGGTCCCTGAATTCCATCCTGTCGCAACCTGGGCATCACAATATCGGTTCTGTAGTGCTTGTGGGAGTGGTCGAGAGAAAGGATTAGAGGGGGTGTTGAGGGGCACAGCCCCAGGGAGCAGGATGAGGGGAAAGGTTGGGCCTCCACTCCCAGACGTGGGGCACCTGGAGATAACGGGGTGGGCAGGGCAGCTCCAGCTACAGTTCAATCTCAAAGGTCTTCTGCAAGTCGCCCGAGAAGGGGTTGGAAGGCTTCTCTACAGTGGGTTTGCCTTCTAACGCTGCCCACTGGGCCTCAAAGGGGTCCAACTCAGAGGCCGGGGCAGGTGCTGGCTCTGGGGGCCAGGGGGCCCCATTAGGACGTGGGCGGGCCTGGCCCCCAGGGGCACTGGGCATGGCAGGGGGTGGGAAGGCTCCAGCTTTCCCAAGTAGGGTGGCGGGCTGGGGCTGGAGCTGGGCAGCTGAGCAGAAGGCATTGGCCACCATCTGTGAGGGTGTGATGCCCACCACAGGCACGCGGGGCATGGGTGGGTAGCCCAAGCCTGGGTAGGTGGGCACAAAAGGGGGCTGCATGTGTGGGGGTGGCAGGAACACAGCCACCTGGGCAGGTGCAGCATCAAAGGGCCCCATGGGGGCAGGGAAGGGCTGCAGGGCAGGGGGCACGGGGGGCACGGGGGGTACTGAGGCCGCTTGCTGCTGCTGCTGCTGTGCTTTGGCCACCTGGGACACCTCCTCTAGCCACCTCTCGGCCTCCGAAGGGGTCCGCTTGTGCCCAGGCTGGAAGGCAGCTGCAGGGGCCACGGAGGGCTCACCCCAGGCAGAAGTCCCTGGAGAGAGGAGAGGGGCAGGTGAAGGCATGGGCTGGACTGGAAAGAACCCCAGGCTGGGATCAGACTCCGGAGCCAGGCTGCCCCCGCCTTGAGTCCAGCTCCATTCTTCACTAGCTGAGCTGACTCTGGGCAAGTGGCTTAACCATCCTGGACCACATGATGTTTCCTCAGTGCTAAGAAAACACAATTCCAATACAGTTCTGAGATTCTAAGGGCCCAAGATGGGAAAGTATAGGCAGGACTGACAATCACCCAGGCTGGCTTCCCTGTTATTGCATGTTTTTAATATAGCCCCTGGTTCTAATATTTTGAGAATGAATTGTTTCAGGAGGCTAAGATTCTAAGGCTCCATGGATCTCTCTGAGACTGTACTACGCTAACATAATGAATGAGGTTCAACGGTTTTAAATTTGTGTTTTCTAAGATTCTAGAGTTTTAAGTTTACATTGTTTGCCGTTCTAAGGTGCTCCTACGGGTGCTAGGATCAGCCCATGGCCCTAAGGTGACTCCGTGGCATGGTTTCTCAGGAAGCCCTCTTCTAAAGCTGTGAGATTCCAAGGTTTCATGGTTCCAAATCTGTTAGGTTCTATGATTCTGTGATTCTAAGGCTGTAGGTTTCTAAATTTTATTACTCTAAGACAGGAAGGTTTAAAATTGATCCCATGGGTCTAAGGTGATCCCATGGCTCTGAGATGACCCCATAACTCTAAGATGACCCGTGGTTCTAAGCCTGTGGGATTCCAGGTTCCTGGAGTTTCTGAGGTAACCCTGAATGGGGCAGGGAAATGCAGGAGGGGCACTGCAGGGTGTCCGCCCAGGAATAGGGCTGCACTTACCTGTTGACATGGGCGGTGGTGGCCCTGGTGCTGGCGCTCCAGCACTGGCGAAAGATGAGCTGATCTGTGTGCACAGAGCGTTGATGCCGTCGCTGTCACTGGCACCAGGGGGCTCCATTTCAGGCACTGGGAAGTTAGGAAGGATGGAGGTCAGTGAACAGGCCCTGCTCTTGACCCTTATGCCCTCAGGTGGCCCTCTCACAAGTGTGTGGTTCGGCGGGTCCACTCTGCACTAATGGCCATGGCCACAAAAATGAAAACTCTGTGCATATATGTGACATCTGAGTGGTACAAGTAGTGTGTGACATTAGTGTGGAAGAAGGGCTATTTCATGACATGACCGCTGCCAGACCCACAAGCTAGAACACCGGCAGAAGAGATTGCTTCCCGTAATCCCCTCAGAGATTGTCTGGTTGACCCCCAATGCCTCAAGAGTGCTGGGTCCTGGAACAGGCCTTTGCCCTGTCCTGGACAAGCATGTAAGTCACTTTCCTCTTATCTGGGGCGGGTCACACTCCAGTACCCCATCCATCCTGCTATGTCCTATACAACCCTCTAGTGCCTCCCACATGGCACAAGGATATCCACCTCGTCTTGCTGCAGCCCAAGATGTGCCCGTAAGTTCCCTTAACGAACTCTTGATGTAATGATAGAGTTGTCAGACTCTTTCTTTGGTCTCTCAGCCCCAGGAAATTTCCCCCCAAATTGGATAGCTGATAAGTCACAGGACTCCCAAGTCAAAGAGGACCTCAAGGAGGACCTGTGTGTAGCCACACACCAGAAAAAATACTTGAAATGTTTAACATCTATTAATTTAAAAATATGTTCAACCACATGTATGGCAAGAGCATCGACCAGTCAGAATGGATGTTGGCCACACTGTAGTTCACTGGCTGGAGATCATTTGTCCTGCTTTGGGTGGTGAAGTGGGGCCCTGTCCACCCCACCCAGACTGGCCTACAACATACAACATGAGGGCAGAGATGCACCTGTGCCAGGAAGATAGGAGACACTGAGCAGGTGTGGTGGCCTCATGAGCCCTTGGGATGAACAAAGGTTCTATCTGAATAAACAACAGAGGACCACTAAGGGTGGTGTGTGACAAGTGCCTGTGATACCTCAGCAAGTGGCTATCTCCAAGGGAGTGGGCATGACGTTCCAATGAGCAGGTGGGAGGGTAAGTGGTTTCCACATCAATTCTGTGATGACTGTGTGTGTTAATCCAAGTGGGTGTGCAGCTGCTGAGGGTGTGGCATCTGAGTGTAACTGAAATCCAGGTGTGTGGTATCCTGACTGTGATTCCCAAGTGTAAGCCAATCCACCTGTGTGATGTATGAGTGTCCTTGCAAGCAGGTATGAATATGCATGTGTGACTTCCAAGTTTGCGTGAATCCGAGTGTGTGGTTTCTGAGTGTGTGTAAATCTGGGTGTGTGATTTCTGGATCTGGATATGTGCTTTCTAAGTGTATGTAATTATAACATCTAACTGTGCAACTTCCAAGTGTGTGTGATTCTGGAGTGCATGTGACTAAGTGTGTGACTACGTAAGGAGTGTATGTGACACCTGTGTGAGTCAGTGAAATTTTGTGTGGCAAGTGACATCCAAGCAAGTGCGCAATTGGCTGTAGGAGCGTGAGGCTTCCAAATAAAGCCTGGGGAGCCTGCCACCTCTCAGGGAGCATGTGTGACAGCCTTTAGGGTGTGCTTCATGTCAGGCTGCAAGAGGACAGCAAATCTGAGGGTGTGTGATGGCCAAGTGATACTGCAGGGCATGGAGTGAGTGTGCGTCATTCTCAACAAGCATTGGCATCTGCTCAACAGTCACCTTCTGGAGTAGCCCAGCCTCCTGGATATAGATCAACACTTCCCACACCAGTCCCAGAGGCCAGGATGGGTAGGTAGGTGTCTCAGATTTGGCGTATGGAGGCATGAGAGCGGGCCAGACCGCATGACTTCACTGACAACTGGGAGGACAGGCAGTCCTCCTGCCTGCCTCCCTCGGGAAAAATATGGTACCATGCTATCTCTCTTCTCCCTTTCTCTTTGCAGAATTTGCTGTAGATCATGACATATGCCACCTCTCTCCTTCCCTTGGCCCATAGCAGACATTAGTAACCAAACACGATGATGCTTTATTTACCACTAAACTCTTTGCTCACCTCACCCCTCCTCACCTGGCTAGACCTCATGGCTCTACTGGCCAAATGCTGGAAGTGAGGGCTGGTCCTTGTAACTCCATCTTCCATCCAAGCAAAACAGGGCATTCATATTGCCTCTCTCCTAGCACCACCCATGAAGACATTGCTAAGCAATGATGATGCACCACCTCTTTCCTCTTTATTGTCCCTGGAAGACACGGCTAATCAATGATGGTGGGTGTTGCCTCCACCCAAGCCTTTGCCCACAAGTGACGTCATGAATCCATCACTATGATCCCTGACCCCATAATCCCCATGCTCACTTATGCCCTCCACCTCAAGTTTCCTCTGGCCAAATTCTGGGAGTCTCTGCTTGGGCAAAAATATAACACTCCTGCTGTTCTTCTTCCATCGCCTATGGCCAACTTTGCTAATTAATCACGTGGCGTGCTACTTGCTCCTTTTTCTTGCTCATGGCAGACACTGTAAGGAGATCGCGATGTAAGCCATCACTCTATTCTCCTTGCCCTGGGAAGACACTGCTAATCCATCACAATCCTCCTTTCATCTCAGCCTGAGGACTTCCTGTATCCTTCACCTGGCCAGATTGTATCACTCCACTGGCCAAATGCTTGAAGGGAGCACAAGCCTTGGTGCCTCAGTCTCCTCCTGAGCAAAATCACAGCATCTGTGCAGCTGCCCTCCTCCCCTTGTCCATGAATTTGCTGACTGATCAAGATTTGTGCCACCATTCTTCTCTCCCTTGTCCATAGCAGACATTGCTAATCGATCACTCTTGCCTGTGGCAGACACGGCTAATTGATCATGATGTGTTCCACCTCTCTTACCTTTGGCCATGGCAGACAGTGCTAATCAATCATGGTGCCTACCACCTCTTCTCTGTCTCTTGCGTACACAGACAGGGGTACTGATACGGATGTCCCCGCCGACTGAGCCCAGGGCTTACCTGTGCCCTTCACCTGGAAGTCAGTGCGGCGCTGCAGCGTGGATGGCAGCTCGTTTAGCCGTAGGCTCAGCTGCCGTTTGAAAGGCGAGTTCTTCTGGCTGAGTGCCGGGAACCCACGGAAGGAGCCCTGGCGAACCAGCTGCTCCAGGGGGGCATGGCGCCGAGGGATAGCAGCTGCAGTGGTGCCTGCAGCCACAGGGGTGCCTGCCTCACCCTTCTCACCAGGGGATGTGGTGGCTGGTGTTGGGGACACGTGCCCAGGCTGGGCAGGGCCGGGAGCTGCAGTGGGGGCAGCTGCTGCCTCTGCTGGAGACATGAGGGAGACAGGTGGTTAGACACCTTATCTTGGCATTCAAGGCCTCTCCCCCTGGTCCCCTTGATCATTCCTCAAGGCTGGCTTCCGTACACAATGTGTCCTGCCCTCGAGACAGGCTGGACAGGGCCCCAAAATGTCCCTCATCCTCACCCAAGACCACTTTACCCAGGAGGCTCTTTGGGAATTGTCCCCCAACCTGACCTTCTGTGTTTCTAGCTTTCTGCCCCCAATCTGTCTTCCTCTGCTGCTCCCGCTGTTTTTCCCTCTGAGACCTTCTGTCTCATTTTCTAATTAATTTAATGGACACTTATTTGGTGCATGACAAACGTATCAGGCTTTGTTCCAAGTGCTTTGAAATTATTAACTCATTCAATCCTTACAACCACCCAACTGTCAATACTACCAGTATCTCCATTTTACAGATGTGGAAACTGAGGCCCAGCAATGGTGAGTGACTTGCCCAAGCCACAGCGCTAGTAAGAGGCAGGCTGACTCCGGAGTCAATGGTCTAAACAATTGCCCTAACCTATCTCTCCCTCTGGCCTGGTCTCTCCACATCATGCTGTCTTCCTCTGTCATTCTGTCAGTTCTCGCTACTTCTCTACCTCCTACCGTTCTTCAGATCTCAAGTACTTCCTCCTTTCACCCAGTTGCTACCCATCCTTCTAGACCCAGCTTGGTACGCTTCTTCTGGGGAGCTTTCCAGATCTTTCCAGACCCTCAGCCTGGGCTCCCTCCACTCTGGGACTGTCCTTTGTCCTCTGGGGGACACCTGCTCTCCCCACTAAGCACACAGCATGCTCTTCAAGGGCAGGATCCTCTCACCCCTGCCAATACACAAACACACATCCATCCTCCAATCAGGGCCTCACCCAAGCTGCAGCCTGAATGCTGGTGAGGTTAAACTCAGGCCCAGAGAGGGCAGGAAGGTCACCCAGCATTTCATCTCTCATCTTCCAGATGGTGAGGCTCTTACCCAGGTCTGGCCCAGAGCTGTGGAAACAGCCTGGGACAGGCTGGAACCAGGAAATCACCTCTGCCCCCACCTCACTGTGTGACTTCAGGAAATCCCCTCCCCTCTCTGGGCTCCAGTTTCCCGACTATAAACCTGGGATAAACATCCCTCTGCTGCCTCCGGGGCCTCCTTAGAGGGTCAGTTGAGGCAGTGAATGTTTCATGCTTTGGAATCCAACAAAAGCTTAGTAAACAACTTTGTGGAAAGCACACTCCTCCACTGCTAAATTGGGAAGAGCTTTTTGTGCAAGTGCAGTGCCTTGAGACTGAATCAGTGTACCATCGGCAAAACACTGATATGTTTGGCAAATCGTAACATACTTCATAAACTCTCACTTTGCTGTGCAAGCTGTAAAGTGCTTTGTACAGTGCAAAGTACCTGGAAACTGTAATATCCTTTGGAAACAGCAAAACCCTTTGCATACTCTAAAGCATATGACAACAGTCTTTGTAAATTCTAATCTCCTATATAAACGGTAAAGAAATATTTATAAACTGAAGGGCTGTATACTCAGTATGTTCTTTATAAAGAATAAAACATCATATACTCTACAAGACTCTCTGTTAACTTCACTTTGTAATCTGTTTTGCCGATGATAAAATTCTTTGCAGATGCTAATAGATGATGTAAACAGTAAAATACTCTGTAAGCTGTGAAGAGAGCTGTGTAGATTTGTAAAGGGGTCTGTAAATGGTTATGTAATTTACGAATAAAAACATACTTCATAAACTCTAATATTCTAGTAAGCAATAAAACTTCTGGTTCCCTAACTTTTTAGTTAGAAATATTTTAACATTTCGACAGAAAAGATGTAATAATGGAGCACTGAGCACGCAGGTTCTCTTAATCTATGGTCCCCAGTGTTAACATGTTACCAGATTTGCTCCTTCCCTCCTTCCATAATTTTTTGTTCCGTGCCATTTAAGAGAAAGTTGCAGACAGCTCAACCCCAAAACCTTCAGCATGTACCTCCTAAGAACAATGACAGTCTCCTAGAGGCACAGTACAATTTCTCACTTGGGAAACTTAACATGGGTATAATACCATTAGCCAATCTACCGTCCATATTCCAGTTTCCCCCAATGTCCCAATCAAGTCCTTTATAGATGTTCTTTTATATATGTATACAATACAGGATCCAATTCAGGACCACACATTGCATTTATTAATATTTGTGAAGTCTCTTTAGTCTCCTGTAATCTGGAACAGTTCCCAATGGTAAATGCTTTGTCAATTCTAAGCTGTGTTTTCCAAATATTTAAAAACTAGGGCTGGCCGAGTGGCGCGATGGTTGGGAACTCGCTTGGGATGCCAGAGGGCCCCGGTTTGGATCCCACATATGAGGGCCAGTGACACTGCCCTCCACAGCTAAGATGCTGAACAACAGCTCAACCTGGAGCTGGGCTGCCACGAGTCGCCGGCGACGGCGTGGGCTGCAGTCTCTGTGGCAGTGGATTGCCATGGGCTACCGTGTGTGGCCAGCAGCCAGCGTGAGCGGCCAGCAGCCGCAGTGAGCGGCCGTCCAGAAGCCGGCGACTGATCTGCCTCGCCAGAGAAGAGCGCAATGATGGTGCCAACTTGGGCCAGTGAAGCAACATCCTCCACAACTAGATTGAAGAACAAAACAACAGCAACTTGTCTGTTCCCCTTTCCCCAATTCCCCAGCACTGTTCCCATCCCCCCAATTCCCCAATAAAAATCTTTAAAAAAAATAAAAATAAAAAATAAAAAATAAAAACTAGAATCCACAGGAAAAAAATTAAATTACATTGTGACTTGGCACATAACACACTTTTATATATATATATATATATATATATTTTTTTAAGTTTACAGCAAATGATAGTTTTATTAGAGCAAAAAGTAACAGCTCTCAAAACGAGCGGGGGTCCCTACTGGGGTGCCACGCTTATATTTTAAAAACCACTGTTTGAGAACTTACAAAGTATTTGCCATTCACCTAGAATGTTAGAGTTTATCAGGCATTTTTCAAACTTTCTTGATGGCAATGCTGAGAAAGAAATGCCTTTTACACAGTAACCTGACCCACATACACACATACAAAATGTACACATGCATGCAAATATATACACTGACATAAAAGTATCACTAAACTATATTTACCCTTACTTTACATTATACTTATCCATTACTCTGATATTTTCTATTCTTTTCTATTTCATTTTTTCAAATGCTACCCACAGTCCAGCAATCTGACTTCACAACCCTTGAACAGGTCTTGATACACAGATTGGAAAGTCTGGGAACCTCCCTGAGTTGGCAGGTAATAAAGCACTTTGTGAGCTTTGCCGGGATTTGTGGCCTACAGAATATTGCCCATAGAACTCCTTACATTGAAGTGAGCTTTATAAACTGTAACCAAACTTGCGGTTGGTGCTCTGCTTTATAAACTGTAGAGTCCCTGTACCTCTGCAGCTCTCCCTGCAAACTGGACCCTTGGCCCCACCAGGGCCCACTCTATGCCCAACCCTGCCTCTGGGCAGTACCCACCTTTCTTTTTGTCCGCAGCCTCTCGCTCAGCAGGCCGCCCACCCCCAGACAGGCGGAAGGAGCCCTCGCGGGCAAAGCTTGTGCGGCTGGCATCGAAGGCAGCTGTGACCCCGCATTCCTTCTCCCGTCGCTGCTTCCGCTCCAGGCAGGCTGCAAAAGCACAGCCCACGGCGTGGCTCAGCCTCTCACCCTGTGGGAAGAAGTTTGGGGGTGGGGTGGGGTTAGAGACACTGTGTTGTGCAGACTGGCCGCCAGGAGCCCTGGGTTCCAGCAGCTAGGTGCTGGGTGACCCTGGATGAGTCCCTTCATCTCTCTGGGCCCCAGAAACAAGAGTGCAATACTATGGAGATTCCTCAAAAAATTAAAAATAGAGTTGTCAAACGACTCAGCAATTCTACTCCTGGGTATTTATCAGAAGAAAATAAAACCACTAATTCGAAAAGACATATGGATCTCTATATTCATTGCAACTTTACTAGTAACAACCAAGATAAGGAAACAACCTAGGTATCCATTAATAGATGGATAAAGAAGGTATGGTGTGTGTGTGTGTGTGTGTGTGTGTGTGTGAAGAAATATATATCTTGCCCAAATGGCAAGATTTCATTCTTCTTATGGCTGAGTAATATTCCATATATATTCCATTTGGGAAAACAGAGATGGACCTAGAGGGAATTATGCTAAGAGAAAAAAGGCAGACAGCGAAAGAAAAATACCATATGATTTCCCTTATATGTGGAATCCAAAGAAACAAACAAACAAAACAGAAACAGGCCCACAGCTATAGAGAACAAGATGATGGTTGCCAAAGGGGAGTGGGTGGGAGGATGGGAAAAGAAAAAGAAAAAAAAAAGTGCAATGCTGGATGCCTCCATTTATATGAAGTTCTAGAATAGGCAAAACTAATCTAGGATGAAAAAAGGCAGAATAGTGGCTATTTCTTAGGGGGAGGTTGGGACTGACTGGGAAGGGATGGATGGGGGGGTGGTGGCCATGTTCTAGAGTTTGACGGGGGTTTGGCTTGTACAGGTGTAAGCAGTTGTCAAACTCAACAAAAGTAGAACTAAGGTTTGTGGACAGCATGCGTTTTTTTTCCAAAAGAAAAAGAGCTGGAAAAAATATGAATTCTACTTAATGGTATGCACGCTGAAGTGTCTGCGGGAAGTATTCTGGTGAAAACCACTTCACCTCTCAGTGCATAAGCCTCCTCATCTGTAAAATGAAGGCCCTGACAGCACCTACCTCACAGGGTTATTGCCAGTATTAGATGAACTAATGCATGCAAAGCATGTAGCACAAAGCCAGGTACAGGGAAACCACACATGTGCCAGCATAAATCTGTCCATCCCTGAGCTGAGCTCTGACTTGCATTCCTTTTACGGACTCCTCACAACAATGCCAGGAGGTGGACACTCCGATGAACCCATTTTACAGATATAGAAACAGATTCAGTCCACACACCTATCACAAGTGGCAGAGTTGGGATTCTCATGAGATCTGTCAGACTTGTTTCCTAACCAAGATGCTCAGTCATATCTTAAACTTGGGGACAAAAATCCTCAACAAAATACTAACAAACTGAACCCAGTAGCATATTAAAAAGATTATGCAGCATGATCAAGTGAGATTGATCCCAGGAATGCAAGGTTGGTTCAACATATGAAAATCAATCAATGTAATACACATAATTAGAATGAAAGAAGAAAAAAAACATGATCATCTTGATTGATGCAGAAAAAGCATTTGACAAAATTCAACACCCTTTCACGATTAAAAAACAACAACAAAAAAAACACTCAACAAACTTGGAATAGATGGGAACTTCCTCAACCTGATACAGGACATTTATGAAAAAGTCATAGCCAACATCATACTAAATGGTGAAAGAAAAGCTTTCCCCTAAGATCTGGAATAAGAGGCCGGCCGAGTGGCTCATTGGTTAAGAGTTGGCTTGGGATGGCAGCTCTGAGCAGCAGGGCCCCAGTTCGGATCCCACATGAGGGCCAGTGACACTGTGCCCTCTACAACTAAAATGGTGAACAACAGCTCGACCCGGAGCTGGGCTGCCGTGAATTGCTGGCGACGGCGTAGGCTGCAGCAGGGCTGCATTGGGCTGCTGTAAGCTACCGTGGGTGGCTGGCAGCCAGTGTGAGCGGCTGGTGGTGTGAGCTGCCATGAGCCACCGTGAGCGGCCATTCAAAGGCCGGCAACCAATCTGCCTCAGCCGGGAAGAGCACAATAATCACAATACCAACATGGGCCAGTGAAGCGACGTCCTCTACAACTAGACTGAAGAACATAAGGACAGCAACTTGTCTGTTCCCCTTCCCTGATTCCCCCCAATGCTGTTCCCTCCCCTAATTCCCCCAATAAAAAAAAGTAAAAAAAAAAAAGAAAAATAAATAAACCAGTACTAAAAAAAAAAAAAAAGATCTGGAATAAGACAAGGACGCCCATTTTCATTACTCCTATTCAACACTACACTGGAAGTTCTAACCAGAATAATTAGATAAGAAAAAGAAATAAAAGGCATCCAAATTGGAAAGGGAAAAGTAAAATTATCTCTATTTGCAGATGACATGATCTTATATGTAGAAAGTCCTAAAGAATCCACAAACTATTAGAGTTAATAAATGAATTTGGCAAAGTTGCAGGATACAAGATCAACAAAAATCAGTTACATCTAATATACACTAGCAGTTAACAATCCAAAAATGAAATTAAGACAATTCTATTTACAATAGCATCTAAAAGAACAAAATGGTTAGGAATAAATTCCAAGGAAACGAAAGACATATACACTGAAAACGACAAAACATTGCTGAAAGAAATTAAAGAAGACCTAAACAAATGGAAATACTCCGTGTTCAGGGATTGGAAGACTTAATCTTGTTAAGATGGCAATATTTCCCAAAGTGATCTACAGATTTAATGTAACCCCTATCAAAATCCCAATGGGGGCCGGCCAAGTGGCGTATTGGTTAGGAGCTGGCTTGGGATGCCAGAGGGCGCCGGTTCGGATCCCACATATGAGGGCCAGTGACACTGCTAAGATGCTGAATGGCGGCTCGACCTGGAGCTGGGCTGGCATGGTCGCCAGCGACGGCGTAGGCTGCAGCCTCTGCTGCAGTGGGCTGCCATGGGCTACTGTGTGTAGCCAGCAGCCAGCGTGAGCGGCCAGCAGCCGCTGATGTGCCTCGCCTGGGAAGAGCGCAATGATGGTGCCAACTTGGGCCAGTGAAGCAACGTCCTCCACAACTAGACTGAAGAACAAAAAGGACAGCAACTTGTCTGTTCCCCTTCCCCCAATTCTCCAGCACTGTTCCCATCCCCCAATTCCCCAATAAAAATCTTAAAAAAAAAAAAAAAAGAAAAAGAAAAATCCCAATGGACTCTTAGAGAAATGGAAAAGCTGATCCTAAAATTCATATGGAATTTCCAGGGACCCAGAATATCCAAAACAATTTTGAGAAAGAACAAAATAGAAGTAACACTTTTCATTTTAAAAACTTATTTCAAAGCTTCAGTAATCAAAACAGTGTAATACTGGCATAAGGACATTCACACCAATGAAATAAAACTGATATCCTAGATATATACCCACACATCTATGGTCAGTTGATTTTCAATATGGATTCCAAGACTATACGACTGGAGAAAGAAGTCTCTCTGACAGATGGGGCTGGGACAACTGGATAACCATCATTTGCAGGTAGGGATGTCCATGTGACTACATTCTGACCAATGGGATGTACATAATTAGAAATGATACACAATTCTGGAAAAGGAAAGGGTGTGCCCCTCTTCACACCTTCCTCCTTTCTGTGGTTGGAATGAAGATGTGAAGGCTGGAGCATGTGCATTCATCTTGGATCACAGAGAGTGGAAGTCATACTTCAGCATAACAACAGGATAAAAGGAGCCATAGCCCCTGATGAGTGGAGAGGAGCCACACCACTGCTCTACTGCCTGCCTTGTCTTTCACATGAAACTCAAACTTCTACCTCACTGAAATCACTGGTTTCTATCACAAACAAGCCTCAGAATCCTAACTGTTAGAATGCTTCTGAGAAGACGGTCCATTTATCACTTTTATCCAATTCTCAGAGGGGACCTTGACACCACCCCCACCCCCAAGTATGAAAAAACACAGACAAAATGAACTGAGGCTGAAGGAAGAGTGAGGGGTATTGTTTGAGAAGGGCCTAAGAGAGCCTGCTGGGGACAGGAAACTTGACCTGGGTGGGGTTTATTCATAAGCAAAAATTCCTGGAGCTGGACATGGATCCTCAATGAGAAAAGTTAGAGAAACATGAAGAACTATTGATAATAAGGAGGAGGATGAAATGTTTTCCTGAACGCTTCCTATGTGCCAGGCATTGTTCTAAGTCCTCTGTACGAACCCACTCAAGTCCACAAGAATCCTGTTAGGAGCTGTGAGTACAGCCCCTTTTCCAGATGAGGACACCAGGCCTGGAGAGGAGAAGTGAGTGGCTTACTCGACTCCACTCAGCTGGCCCGGGGTGGGGCTGGAATGCCAGGGAATGGGAGAGAAGAGTCAGCTGGCTTTGGGCTTTGGCGATACTCACAGAGTCCTTGAGTGCCAGGAAACAGTGGCAGATCCAGCGGCGAGTAGTCCCATCACGGCAGATGTAGGAGAAAGCCTTGTCCAGGTTGCGGTCAGGAGCACAAAAGGAGACCTTTTCGATGGTCTGGTCTACCAGCAGGTCCTGGGAGGGACCGGGAAACCAGGAGAGGAATGTGAACTGCCTTTCATGTATTCATTCAACAGTCTTTTAGTGTCTGCTCTATATTCCATCCTGACTGGGGTAGGCACCCAGCGGTCACTGAAACAGCTGTGAACGCTGCTGGCATAGGGGTCTCAGTTCAGTGCAGGAATTAGGCTCATTACCAGGAGAGAGCCCAGAGTCACAGACAGGATGTAATGAAGGGGACACAGGCAGAGGGGTCATGGTCAGGATCGGGGAGGCACACGGGCCTGCAGAAACCACGAGGAGGTGCCTGATGCAACTTCAGGGGGAGTCAGGCAAAAAACTTCCTGGAGGCAAAAGGCAGGGAACAGTATTTCAGGCTGAGGGGACCGCCTGTGCAAAGGTGTCAATCCTGTTCGGTCATTAACCTAGTTCATCACGTGCTGCCTGCCTCCTCTGGCAGTCTCTGGGCGAGAGACAGGGAATTTAATAGTGAGCAAACAGATACCCAGATCCTGGCCCCATGGTGCTCTTGTCTGGCTGGGTAGACTGACAATAAACATATAACAACTAACATTCGTTGATCTGAACACTTACACTATACCAGGCATAGTTTTAAGCTATTTGCATATACTTTCTCAGATAATGGTAGGTGGTGTCTCATTTTACAGATGATACAATTGAGGCATGTTAGGGTTACATCTTATACCTGGGGTCACCCAGCTGGTAAGTGGGTGAGCTGGGATCCGAGCTGAGGCGGCTGCTCCACAATCTATGTATGCTCTTACCCATTATCTATGCTAGCTCACAAATAACCACAGGACTCAAGTCCTGACTTATGACTGTGAAGTGTGCCAAGATGTTGCAAGAGTATAGGGGATAGTCTAGAAGGTCTCTGAGGAAGGGACATGCTAGAGGTGGGTGGGGAAGCATCCTCTGACCCATTCCAGCAGAGAGAGGACTGTGGCCCACTGGTGCCCACTCCCACCCCCACGGGCCTCCTACCTTGGTCTTGTCATCCACGACTCGGAGCCCATCAGCTGACACCCACAGAACAGACTTCACGGACTTTCGGCCCATCTGGAGTGGAGGGGAGGATAGAGGGCGTGGTCACGGCCTCTTCCCGTCTGACCTTGTCCCTTCCCTGCTCCAGCCACCCACTCACCGCCTTCAGCTTCTTCACAGCATCTTCACACACGTGCATCCCACGGGACTCCTCCACCTCCACGTGGCCCAGGTACTTGGGAGGGAGAGATGGGAGGACGTGAAGTAAGCACAGTAATCAATAATTCCTAGTGTGCTCTGAGCAGCTGCACTGTATCCTGCAGTGTCCTAAGCATATCATACTTATTAACTCATTACTTATTAACTCTGTACCTCATCTCTACAAGGAGGGTTGCCCATTCCCATTCCAGACATACAGATGAGAAAACAGAAGCACAGCGTGTAGCAGTGATTACCATCCTGCCTCTATCCCTGGGCCTTAACCCGTCACTGTTGTCCTTTGGAGTGCCAGCATCTGCATCTCTGCGCCTGAGGACTGGCCCCACGCACGGAATGATGGGAGTTGCGGTACACTTGCCCCAGCCTCCATGGGCGGGTGGCTCTTTTCCCCAGAGTCCCCAGTTGCATTAAGCTCAGTTGCCCACGTCTGCAGTTAGTAACACACCCTTGATTGGCTGCCTTCCCTTCCTCACTCCCACCAGCATTTCCTGCACCTCCTGATGGACCCCTCACACCCAAAGCCTGCTTCTGGGTGAGGGGACCAAGTTAAGATTTGAACCTGAACCCTGCTGTTTCCTTTACCAAAGGCTAGTGTGCAACTGTAAAGGGTCATAGAGGGCAAATGCGACAGAATTTTTGTGACCTTCCAGTGCCCTCTGTAAATTGTGAGCTCCCACAAAATGGGGTGACGTAGGCAGGACATCCTTCAGGTAGCATTTTCCTGGTACAAGAGAATGTGTGTTGGTTTTTAATCTCAACTCTGAAGGACAGGCTCCACAGTTCTTTGAAGATACGATGTCTCTGCCACACAGGACAGGACTTTGCCCAACTCGTCCAGCACCCTGGACCTGCATGCACACAGTGCCCCACCCACTCACCCTGACCGGGAAGCTGCACGTGCCCTTGCGCACTGCGTCCTCATCTGCCTGCCACTGGTGCGGGCGTGATGCCTCCGGCACATAGGCTGGCTTCCGCCGCCGCAGGCTCTGCCGTAACTTGTTCATGGTGCCCGCCCCGTCTGGCGACACAGGACAGGGAGTAGGTCAAGGGCAGGGGTCAGAAGCATGGGGCTCAAGGGGGATGGACACAATGCTCAGGGAGCATGGGGTCAGATAACAAGGGAATAGGGTTACAGGGTCATTGGGTAAGACGACATGACGTTTAGGGAACTTGGATCATCAGCAGTCACTGGACATGGGTAAAGGGGGTAACATAAGGCAGGGAACTGTAAGAGTCAGTGTGGGGGTTCAGAAGACATGGGACGAAGAGGCAGGGAGGTCTGGGATAGGGGTCACAGCTTTTAGGGGTCTGGAGGTTGGGGGTGTTACAATCTAGAAGAATACAGATGCAAAGTAATGGAAAATCAATGCACTGGAGGACATAGGGACTGGAGAGCATAGGAGTCAGAGGTCATGAGATCAGGAGTTTTAGGGGTAGGAGGTCAGGGGGTGAGGTGGTCAGAAGGCACAGGTGTTGGGAGTTGCATGGGTCAGATATGGGGGGTGTGGGGAGCATGGGTCCGATATGGGGGGATTCAGAAGGTCTAGAGCCCAGGCCAGAGGGTGTGGAGTACAGGGGCTTGTCTCTCTGCCTCTAGGATACCGCCCCCCTGACAACTGTGTCTAGTCTGAGGCAGGGGCCCCTGGGGCAGTATGCATCTGTGACCATCAGAGGTAGGGGTGGGCAGCCACTAAGACAGTCTTCATTGACCAGAATACTCTTCACTGACTGATAGCCAAATTGACAGTCCCAGAAGGAGGGTAAGGGACACCTTACCAGGACAGAGCACCAATAGCAGATGGGGACTCTGTGTGTGCCAGCAAGTGTGCAGCTGGTGTGTTCCTGAATGCTATCTGTGAGGGTGTCTAGAGCTGAGCATGCAACTGTTGTTTGCAGGTGTGTCTATTTCTGAAGGCTGTATGGAAGATCGAAGGTCTGAGAATGGTTGTTTATGAGAGTGAGAGTCTGTGTCCAAGAGTGGGGTTGTTGTCTGTGAGTGTAAGTCCCTGAAGGTTGTTGCTGAAGGGTATCTATGTGTGAGACTGGTTGTGAGTGTGCCAGGGAATGCTACTGTGAGGGTGTCTCTCTGAGCAGGAAGCTGTTGTCTTTGAAGCTGTGTGTCTGTGTGAGGGTGTGGCTGTTGTCTTTAATGACTGTTACCTATGATAGTGTGTGTCTGTGAGTTACCTAAGAGACCATACCTATGTCCAAGAGTGCAGCTATTGTTTGTGAGGGTGTGTCTGTGTCAGAGCATGTGGCTGTTGTCATAGAGTTGGGTCCATGAGTGTTGTTCTGAGGGTGTCATCTGTGAGGTTGTGTGAGAACGTGAGGTTGTTGTCTTTGAAGTTGTGTTCATGAGTGTTATTTGTGAGACTGTGACTGTGACGACATGGCTGTTGTCTATGAGTGCTGGTTATTATTTGTAAGACGGTGTGCAGAAGTGTAACTCTTTGTGAGAGCATGGGTCCACAGATGCGGTCTGTGAGGCTGTGTCTGCTTGTGAAAGTGTGGCTGTTGTCTGTAAAAGTGTGGGTCTGTGTGTGTTGTCTGGGAGACTATCTGTGTGCAAGGGTTCATCCACTGAGAGTGTGTATCTTGAGTCGGTATCTGGTTAGTGTCTGTAGTTGCCTGTGTGAGAGTCTGGGTGTTGTCTGGGAATGTGTTTGTTTGTGTGACCCTGCACCCGTAGGTGTGGGGAGGTCGGTGTGTGTCTTAATGTCCCAGTGTGTTTGTGACACAGCTAGATGTGTGTGTCTGTGTACAAGTCAGGCTTGGATGGTCACTGAGTATATAGGGAAGAGTTTTGAGGGTGTACACTCATGAGTGTGATTAAGCCTGTGTGATTGCAGGGACAGTTCCTCTAGTCACTCTAGGCAGGTCCACCCACCCATTCAGCCCTTGCCCTGTCACCAGCTAGTCACTCACCTGGCTCCGTCCTGGAGGTTTCAGGGGGCCCCAGGGCCCCACAGGGGGCTGGAGGCAGACGCTGCTCAGGCCTCCTGGGTCTCCCCTGCCCAAGGGAGAGAGGAAAAGGTGAGAGGTTGGCTTGGGATAGGGCTCAGTCCCCTACTTCACTCCATCTTTGGACAACAGCCAACCCCCCTCCATCTCAGGCTTGGGTAAGAGCCTGGTTGTCATAGCAACTGCTAAGGAGGCAGATGAGCGACCTGGTTGCAAGGGTCCAGAAATGGGTATTTGGGGGAATTTGTTGGGGGATAGCCTGGCCCCAGGAGGCCCTCAGTACCCACGGTGATGGTGTGAGGAAGGAGTGGCCTTGTCCTCTAGACACATATCCAGGGACACATACAAACATAGTCACATGTATGCATGCAACTCACATCTACAGTTGTCCCTAGCATCCAGTCATGGCTTGTGCATTTAGTTACATACAGACTCACCTAAACAGTTACAGCTACTACAAACATCTGGTCACATAGCCATATTCACAGATATACACAGTCTCCACTACAGACATTTGTCCACAAGCATATAGAGTCCCAGCCTGCCTAGATGCTGCCACAACCACTGTCACATCAGCTACTGATATTTGGTCACTTTTATTTTCGAAACCACTTACAAAGAGCTGGGCCCAGGCATACCCACTAGACTGGCACATGTACAGCCACACCCAATGACAGTTATATTTCCTCAGGCAGCAACCCAAGATACTCACGTCACAGACCTACCCATATAGAATCACACCAAGTCACACAGACATAATCAGAGCCACACACACTTGTCACACCTAGCTCCACTGCTGTGTGTTGACATCTGGTCATGAATGCATGAAGACATGCACACATTTGGTCACACACAACCACATCCAGTCACAGCCACATGTATTTAATCATCTACAGGCACACAGCTGCACACGGACACTTAGCCACCTGTATCAGTCACACCAACACACCTTTTTGGTCACAACTGTCACACAGTCACATACTCAGTCGTAGGGGCACATATTTGGTCACAGTATCAGCTAACTTATATGGACAGTCCTCCACTGTATGGACTATATGGACAGACACACAGAGACACTGATGTCTATGGCACATGCATTATAGGGAAACAGGCAGGCACACCCAAGACATGCATACAATCACCCAGAGACAACTATCTCCAAGGATGGCCACACTCAGACACAGCTAGATAGCCGGTTGTTCAGATTCACAGCCATACACATTTCAGAAGTGGTCATAAATGCAAAGTCACACAGCATTAGTGTCCACATTACCCGGCCATCTATCACAGTCATAATACTGTCACCTAGCATCCTATACTCAGCTGTACCATCTCATAGCACCACAGAGAAGCATACAGTCTCTCTTCATGCAAACACACAAGTCACACAGACAGGTCAGTAACCATAAACAATCATACCCCCATGTGTACAAACATATCTCACACACAGAGACATCAGCACACAATTTCCATTTCACACATTACAAGCACACAGTCCGCTATATGCTCAGAAATGCAGTGACCCAGACATAGCATTTATAACTGCGTTTACACAGACAGTTGCTGATGGAGCCATGTACAGTCAGGGGAGAGTCACCCTGTCACCAAACCACACACTCAAACACAAGCAGTCCAGCACGCATGCAGACACACATACCAAACTGTCACACAATTATAGACCCACACTCTCCTAGATCATGACACAGACACAAATACATATAAGTCACCTGGGGTCACAGACAAGCAATTCAAACACAAATATAGAAACCACAGTCATATATACACACTCCCACAAACACACATAGTTAGTTACCTGGTGCCACCACACAGACACACCTATATCTTGAGTCAAACACAATGAAACAACCCATTATTAATGGTAAGCCAGGCTTTTAGACCCCAAGTCAAGTACATAACCCAAATCACACATTCATGACTATTCATGCACAAAATCACTCAGTATCAACACAGAGAGGTAGATGCAGTCATTTATGCAACGCTGGTCACACATATGGACATGGCTATGAACACACGACCACTGTCATACAAACATACAAGTCACAGTGCCATCACACAACCCCAGTCACGTAGGCACAATGTGACTGACTTCATGTACAATAGTCACACACCCAGAGTTGCAGGGACATTGTGTGTCACATAGACCCATGTGTGACATACATATAAAATCAGTCATAGACAACCACAAAACGTTCAGTCATCGGGAGAGTTGCACATGTACAGGGCCATAGACACAACTCCACTTACACACAGTCACAACTTCACCCACATCTTCAGTCAGCCACACGCATGCCCAACAGCCGACTTAACACATACACTGTCACATACCCAGTTATAGTTACCAAGGTACATAAACACAGGGTCACAAAAGATGGAATCAAACACACAACCACACAGTCACAACCATGCACGCACTCAAACACAGACTAAAAAGTACAGGGTTCTGCACAGTGTGCAGCTGTCATACACACATACAGTCACACAAATGCTGGGGTCACACATAGACAGACACTACCAGACACAACCACAAGCACGAAACACATACACACACGGTTCCTCATAGTTGCCAGCTACAGCGCGCACGCGTGCCCACACACAGTCACACAAACACGGGGTTACACTCTTGGCCACTTCCCCATGGCTTGCTTTCCCCCCTCCCCACCAAGTACCATACACAAAGCCACCGTCACCTCAGATGCTGCAGACAGACAGGGCTATACCAGGTCCCTGGGGAGCCACCCCCACTCCCCAAGCATGAATCCTAGAGCCTTGGGGGCCAGGACCAGGAGGGGGAGGCAGAGCATTATCTGCGGGTGGGGCCGCTCTCAGCTGGGCAGCCCCAGGGACAAAGGGGACGGCCCAGGGGACCTGTGCCCTGGGACCCCTGACCAAGCTTTGGGAGTGGGAGAGGGTGCCTGAAATTTGCTTTATTTTATTCAGGCTGGGTGGGGTGGGGATGGAGTTCCAGGCATAGGGACCTTGTTAAGAAGGGGCTGTTCCTGGGATGCAGCCCAGGGACTGGGGGGGATCCTATGCCCAGGGTGCCTCTGAGGCCTGGGGACAAACTGCCTAGAATCCCCCAAGGCCTTGGCCTGATGGGGAAGCTGTGTTCAGAGACTCCATCCTCAAGACCTTGCCTAGAGGATTGTTGTGCTCAGAGACCCCCTCAGGCAGGGAGGGGTCAGGATGGCGTTTCGTCTGGAATCGCCTCCTGGAGGCCTTGGCTTCATCTGGGGGTTGTGCTCCAGACTCATCCTCAAAACCTTGCCTAGGGAGTTGTACCGGGAATCTGTTCCACTGTCCTTGATTTTTCTGAGGGGGAGATCTGTATCCGGGATCCCTATCTCTAGGGCCTTAGCAAGGGAGGCCTGTGCGTGAAACCCCTGTCTCCCAAGCTTTGGCTTGGTGGGGGTCTGTTCGTGGACCCCCACCCAGGACCACCCTTGGCACCTTCTCTGTATCCGAGCGCCGCGGTCGCCTCCCACCCTACGCCACATCAGCAGCGGCGCCGCCCCCCACCCGAACCCCCTCTCCCGCCCTTCTCACGCTGGCCGCCGCGCTGCGGGACATCCAGGGCCCCGGCGCCCCCGCCTCCCGCCGCCCCGGCTGGGTCCGGATTCCCGAGTGCTGCTGCTGTAAGGCGGCGGCGGCGGCGGCGGCAGCTCGGTCTGACGCGGGCCGGGGCTGGGGGCCGAGGGATGGTGCGGGATGCACGCGCGCGAGCCTGCTCTGCTCCCCAAGGATTCCGTTCCGGGGGCGGGGGAGCGCCCCTCCCGCCTCGGCTCCCGGCCCCGGCCCCGCCCACTGGCCCACCGCCTGCTGGATGTGCAGAAAGACCCCGCCCCGGCCGAGTGCCTAGTTGGCTTTAGCCCCGCCCCTGCCCCCACAGATCACGCCCATATGCAAATATAACCCCGCCTTCTCCGCTGCAGCCACCGCCCCGCCCCGCCCATCGGCCAGTCCCTGGCAGAGCATTCATTTGAGCCTCGCTGAGACTTCCCCCCAGGTCCTTCCAAGCTTGGGCTCCTTTCCTCTCCATGACCCCTGACCTCAGATCCCCTTCAGTTATGCATCCGAGTTACTTCGGGAGGCGTCTCGCCGCCCCACATCCTCAAATCTTACAGCTAACCCCACGGTTCTCCCAGCCCAGCGGAGGCGGGCAGAAGCGGTGACGAGGCACTTTTTGCAAGGAATGGGAGGGGGAATGAATAGACCCCGGCGACCCGGTGCGCGATCGGTTCGGTTTTGGCGGCGGGGGCGCCGGGCTGAGACCAGGGCGCGGTTCTGGCTTTCGCTGCGCCCCCACTCCCGCCCGATCCTGTGGGTTTGGCAAGGCAGCTGGCAAGGGCATTAAGGCCCATTAGCAAAGGCGAGATTGCTGGGAGCCCGGCGCCGAGGAGGTGGTGTAGGGGGGAGGCCTACTCAGCTGCCGCAGCTTTACGAGCAGGTGGTCAGCACGTGCGGGAGGGTTGGGGGTGGGTGGGAGGGAAAGCGGAGAAGGAGGTTCCCGACAACAGATGGCCCAGGCAGGACTGGGGCTTGCAGACAAGAGGGTGGGAGGGGGCTGGCCATCTGCACCTGGAGACTGCCCGAGAGCTCCTCTCCCCCCCACCCCTCCGCAGAGAAAAGAGCTGGGGGAAGGGGAGGGCTGCTTTTATTCAGACTGAAGGTTCAAACACCCCCACACACACACACACACCCCTCCCCAACACAGAGAGGATGGACAGGGAGAAGGCAGCTGGTGGAAGAGTGAGGGAGGCAAAGGTGAGGGCTGCCTCCACCACTCCACCACCCCACGGCTCTCTCTGGCCAGATCTGTGGAAGACCTGAGGCACAGGCGAGAGGCTCCCCTCTAGATGAGTCTGCATCTCCACCATGGTGTGCTGAGGGCCTGAGGCTCTCTCAAATGTTGGCAGAAATAAGTTAATGCCTCGTGTAAAGTTCCCGCATGCCCACTTTAGGACAAAGATAGCAGGATGTGGGAGCATGAAGTGGGGAGTTCCCTAGCCCCGGGGTTCCCCAGCTCCCAGGGAAGGGCGCTAGGCAAGACTGGGAAGCCCAGGGCGATGTCCCCAGATGGGAGCAGAGTGAGAAGGAGGTATCACAGCGGGGAATGGCCCTCTACTGGCTGTATTTCCCGGAGGGAAGCTGTCCGAGGGCTGGGCCCGACGTCCCCTCTGGTCAGGAGGCTTCGGGCAGTGGCTGAGGCTGGCGACCCGCCCAGTATCGATGGTAGGTGTCCTGGAAGAGGTCCCGGCAGTTGATGTGGGCGCGGAGGCGGGCGCAGGCCAGGAAAGCCCCTGCCAGCTTGCGGTGCAGGGCATAGGTCTCTTCGGGCGGTGGGCGGAGCCGGTGCTGCAGCAGGACAGGGATGAGGCCCTGCACACGGCGGGCAGTGTCACCCGCCCCAAAGTCATAGGGGCCCTGGGTGGCGAAGGGCTCCCCCAGGATCATCACAGCCTCCACGTGGGCATCTGAGAATGCCTAGGGGTGGGGGAGAGCAGAGGCACCCAGTATGGCCTTCTACTTAACCATGAAGGGACAAGTAGCCCTCAGCTCCCTCAGTGTCTCCAGTACAAGCCCATGCCCCAGCTCCTTCCAGAGCCCCCAGGAAAGAAGCAGCCCCCTACTTCTCCCCAAAGAAATGGCCCTTCACTCTGTCTCAGTCTCCAATAGACAAGCAGCCCTCACTATCTAGGACAGAAACAGCCTCCATTCCTGGACCCCCAGTACCCACCAGCCGCCCCCCATTCCCTCCCTCTAGAATAGGTAAGTGGTGTCCATTTTCCCAGGGTTTCTGAGTAGCGAAACAGCCCCCAGTCCCCCCACTCCTTCTCAGAGCCTCCAGTATAGATCAGCAGTTCCCCACTCTCCCAGAGTTCCCTCAGTAGAGTTAAGCAGCTCCCACAGGCCCCCCAAAAGATACCAGCCCCTACTCCCCCAGTGTCTCCCAACCTTGGTTTCCAAGCCTGTGAGGAATTTGAGGTCCCGGGATTTCTGCAGGACCCGGTCTCTGTCTCCATTGGCTGCAGCCATTACCACCTGGGGAAATGGATGAAGCACAGGGTCAAAGGCCCTGTGAGTTCAAGGGTTCAAGGAGGAGTCTGGGGAAATGGAGGCTGCAGCTGGAAGCTGGGCCCTATCTGTACCCACTTCCCTTCTCAGCTGCCTAGGTCTTCTCTCACCTAGAAGCCTCTCCCTCATCACCTTGTGCTTGCCTGTCTGTGTCTCTCTCAAGACTGTCCCAGAGCCTGGAGGGTGGGGATGGTTAAGGGTTCTGCCCACCTGGCTGGGAACACAGAGCCTGCCTGGAAACTAAACAGTGCAACAGCACAGAGGAAAATAAATATCAAGTGCTGCTCATGGGTCCAAACACTCAATTGGCCAAAGATGTGGCTGTGACCCAAAACTGCATCTGAGGTTGCTATTGAGCCATCTCTCTGATCACTGGTTGATGTCTGTCTCTGGCACTAGACTTGAAGCCTTGAGAGCAGGGATCTGGGTTGACACAAGGTCTGGCACTTAGGAGGCCTTTGCTTAGCAAATTAGTGTGTGGAGCTAAGCACCTCTCCAGCCATGAGTGCACGTCAGGCAGGCAAGACTTGAGGGCACAGGGAAAGACAGACAGAAGAGAGAGCCAGCTCCCCAGGGCTCAGGCCCCGCTCTGCCACTTGCTGGCTGACTGGGCAAGTCCCTGGCTTCAGACCTCTGCTTTCTTATCTGTGAAGTGAGGACGATGAAAGTATCTTCCTTGTGGGGTTGTTGTGAGGATGAAGGAGGAGATAACTGTGTAGAGCTGAGCCCTGTGCCTGCATGTAGGAAGCACCATAAATATTATCAGCTATTATTATTATTATTCAGAGGTGGATATGAGGGTCCCAACTTCATGGAAGAAGAAACAGGCTCACAGCGGGCAATAGCAAGGCGAGGAGTGGAACCTGGGGTGAACCCTTAACCACTGAGTTGCTCTTTCTTGTGAGGAAGGGGAATCAAGATTAAATCAGGCTATTCTATTCTGCCTCGTCAACCCTGCCCAAGACTGTATGGCCATCTGTCAAGCCTGTAGTCCTTGGGGGCCAGTGTGACAGGGCTTTTTTAAACTGGAAAAGGCTGTGGAGGTGGCAGGAGGGCTATGCTAAACAGGCCAGGGGTGGGGGTGGGGGCATGAGATTTCCCGACTACCCAGAGAAGCCTTGGCTTTGTGCCTCAAATGGCCTGCAGAGATGGCCCCACTGTGCCTATGTGTGTGGGGGGAGGTTTAACCGGCTCCTCCTTCCTGTCCGCATCTCAGGGGTGGCCCCATCATCCTCTAGTCTCCAAGCCAGAGTCCTGGGCCTTGTCCCCGACACCTGTCTTTCCCTCCCCACAGCCTCCCTGGGCTCCTCAGTCTTAAAGACCACTCTTTATTCAGAGGGGGTTTCCTAATTCTTACTGTGGCCCTCCTCTGTGCAAATCCCTCCCATGGCTTCCCAGGGAACCGGGATAAAGCTGCAAAGCATGGCTTCTAGGACCCAGAGTGGTTTGGCTCCAGTCTCATCACTGGCCGCTGTTCCTCCCCATCCCCACCTACCAGCAGAGTCAGAACATGAACTTACTACTGGGTCTCTAAGACTTTACTACTCAAAGTGTGGTCCCTGTAAGAGTAGCTTTGGCAATTACCTGGGAGTATGTTAGAAGTGCAGCATCTTATGCCTAACTCCAGTCCAGAATCTGCATTTTAACTAGGTCACAGGGTGGGAGGTTTCACATACACATTAAAGTTTGAGAAGTGCTGCTCTAATGGGAATATCCCTTCTTACCTCTTGGCCTTTGCACACGTTGTTGGTCTGAAATACCCTCCTATCGCCTTCCCAATTGGTCTCCTAATCCCTCAGGTCTCAATTCTGATGTCTCTTCCTCCAGAAAGCCCTCCCTAACCCGTAGGCTGGGCCAGTCTCCTGTGAGTTCCCACAGTGTCCTGTGCTTCCCCATTCTAGCCCTGACCACTCTGGGCCCTCAATATCTGTCCCCTCATTAGACTGTGAGCTTTGTGAAGGCAGGGACCTGGGCTGGATTGGTCACTGTTGTCCCCCACATTACCCAGAATAGGGCTGGGCACAGAGGAGCCTCAAAGAGCTTGAACTGATCACTAAATGACTGGAAGACCAAATTAATAATATAGTGTTCTCTGTGACCTCCAGGACAAATTGACCCTGGTGGGCAGGAGGGACAGCAGGGAGGGATGGTCAACAGGTGAGGAGACACTTCCTGAGGACAGAGCAGCCCCTTAGGGATCAGCTTGCCAGGAAGGTATGTGAGCACAAACCTGGACACCGAGGCCCTGGATAGTGTGGGGTATGGGGAGGTGAAAGGATGGCCGTCGTGGACCTGTCTGTTAGGACGAGGCTAGTCAGGGTTGCGAGTATGGGCTCTTGACCCAGACCACCTAAGTCAGAATGCCAGGTCTGCTGTGACCTTGGGCAAGTGACTTAACCTCTCTGAGCCCCAGTTACTTCATCTGTAAAATGGGGCTAAAAATAGTCCTTGCCCTATGAAGTTGCTGTTTTATGGTTTAAATCAGTTACCACAGGTATATCGCTTAAAACAGCACCTGACAATATTAAGTGCTTGGTATTTGTTAGCTGCTATTAATATTACTATGATTTCTCATTTATTAATTCCAAATATTGTACTTCTCCTTCTCACCCTTGCCTCAGTATCTGGCTTGAGCCTTGGCCCTTCTGAGACCCCAGGGTTGGGGAACTCACCTCGATGTAATGGTCTGTGAATTCGGTCCCAAATTCCCGGCTTGCACCAAAGTCCAGCAGGGTCACCTGGGAACAAGAATGGTGAAAAGGATGCTGGGAGTCCACCAATGCTTCCCATTGTCTATCCTGGGTGGCTAGGGTCCATCTCTCCCTCCTTACACCCTGCCCTGTCCCCTCCTTCCAGAGTCCCTCTGTCTCCCTGGGCTCCTGGCCTCCAGTTTCCACACTTCTAATCCACCCCGACATGAAGCTGAAGGAAACTGGCTTTTATTATTTTTGGTCCTAGTTGTTTTTATAATAATATATTTCAGCACGGAAAAAAAATCCAGAGAATAAAATATATGGAAAAATGAACACCCACAAATCTCACCACCCAGCTTAAAATATAAAATACTACCAATCTAGGTGGGGTCTCCCATGTATCCTGGCCTGATTCTATAATACCTGCCCCACACCCCCACCCTCTCTTCCAGGGTCACCACTTTCCTGAAATTATTATTTCCTGAAATTACCATCCACGTATTTCTATATTTTTCTATATATGTGTGCATTCATGAACAATATATAGTAATGTTTTGTGTATCTTAAAACTTCAAGGGCCGGCCGAGCGGCCCAGTTGGTTAAGAGCTCGCTCAAGAGTTTGAGCTCTGAGCAACAGTGGTTCGAGTCCTAGCCCGAGCTGAGCAGCCGCTGAGCTGCCAACAGGTAGCAGGATGGCTCAGCTAAAAAACAAAACAAAACAAAACAAAACAAAACACAAAAAAACACAAAAAACATAAAACAAAAAAAAAAACAACTTCATATAGTGCCGGCCGAGTGGTGTGTTGGTTAAGAGCTGGCTTGGGGCGCCAGAGGGCCCTGGTTCGGATCCCACATATGAGGGCCAGTGACACTGCCCTCTACAGCTAAGATGCGGAACAACAGCTCAACCTGGAGCTGGGCTGCAGTGAGTAGCCGGCGAGGGCATAGGCTGCAGCCCCTGCTGCAATGGGTTGCCATGGGCTACCGTGTAGAGCCAGCAGCCAGTGTGAGCGGCCAACAGCCACCATGAGCGGCCATCCAGAAGCTGGTGACTGATCTGCCTCGCCCGGGAAGAGCGCAATGATGGTGTGAACTTGGGCCAGTGAAGCAACGTCCTCCACAACTAGACTGAAGAACAAAAGGACAGCAACTTGTCTGTTCCCCTTCTCCCAATTCCCCAGCGCTGTTCTCATCCCCCAGTTCCCCAATAAAAACCCTTTAAAAAAAAAACACAAAACTTCATATAAATGGTTTTTACGATAGTTACCCTGCAACCTGTTCTTTGTGCCCAACATGGTTTTGTGATTTATCCCCACTGCTATGTGCGGCTCTGGCTCGTTCATTCACTTTTTCACTGACGTGTAAGGACTTCATTGTGTGACTATATCACAATGCATTTATCTGGTTGATGGACATTGTGGGTGTTTCTGTGTTTTGCTATTAAAAACACTGCTTGATGAACACATGTGTAGGAGTTTCTCTGGGGCAGTGGAGTTCGGACTATTGATTACAACCCACAGTAAGAAATACAGATTATAGTGGGCACCAATGCTAATGCCATATAAATATAAACATTAAACAAAAATGTCCTGAATGAAATACTATAGCTCCCTCCCATCCATGACACACTGATACTTTCTATTCTATGCCTGTCAACCAAAAATAATGCAGTTGAGACCCAATAAATTGACATCAGGACACGCATCACCTCCCCAGGTTAGAAAAACCCCTCCCTGTCAGCCAAGGAGGGACGTGGGGTGTGTATGTACTTGCAGGAAAGGAGGCTGGCAAGGGACTGAGGCTGGAGACTCGGGGCCACTTCACATTCAGCAAAGGGCTCAGGCTTGATCCTGAGGGCGCTGAAGTGCTGTGGAGGGGACAGCGTGGCCAGATTTGTGTTTCAGAAAGATCCCTCTGGGGATATAATGGGTACAGACCACATTGGAGGGCCATTTGGCAACCATGGACGCTGAGTCTTTTGGTCCAAACTCACCCCTAGGTTTTTAAACACCCTGTTACCTCTGCCAGGATTGCTTTTCCCTGCTCTTTAGATGGCTGTCCCCGTCTCAAATTTCTGGTTTCAGCTTTAATGGCACTTCCTTTAAGAAGCCTTCCTTGACCCCACCCACCCAGGCAGGGTCAGCCAACTTTCCCTGGGTTCCCACAGCCCTCTGGGCCTCCCCCATCACTGACCACTCTGGCCTCTGTTTCCCCCTCATGATACTAACTACTCTAGGTCATCACTGTCTGGTGACAGGTCCCCCAGATGGACTGGGAACTCTGAGAAGGTGAGGATCAGGCTTGTCTTGGCATTCTTAGGAGGCAGGCAGTAGAAACTTGGTGTGCTCTAAATGAATAACAAGTGCGGTCGATGATGACTAACTACCTTCAAAAAGTTGTGATCCCTCTTCTATACTGTCACATTGCCACTAGGAAGCCACTCCCTAGTCAGGGACTCCATTTCCCAGCATCCCTTGCACCTAGAGAGGCCCCGTGACCCGGTCTCATTAATGGAATGGTAAAGGGAATGATGTGTCACTTCTGGTCAAAGCTGTTAGGTAAGGGTTAACCTCTCAATCTCTCTTTCCCCTTTCACTAGAAGGAGAGAATTGCAAGACCTAGGGGATGGTGTGATCACAAAAGGGAAGGAGCCTGGGTCCCTGAGTCACCACGTGGAGGAAGACTACCCTAGCCTGTTACTCGGGTAATAAACTACTATTGTGTTGAGCTACCGAAATATGAGGAAATAGCTGTCACAGCAGCTAATGTACCCTGACATACATCACACGGAACCAACCTGGTGGCTGGATGCATCATACAGGAAGTTGGCCCAGTTGGGGTCCGTCTGCATGAATCGGAACTCAAACAGCTCCCGTAGACACAGTCTCAGGAGCTGGTAGCAGATCTGGGATGGGGAGAAAGAGTAACAGACACTTTAGAGTCATCTGCCCCTGTAAAGCCCTCTCTGGCCTGGAGCAGGACCATGGGTCTGGCCTGCCCTGCTGGCCCTGCCCTGGGGTAGCACCCTCCCTACTGTCCCACAAGACCATGTACCTGGTTCCGGATGTCCTGGCTCAGACCCTGGCACTGGTCCAGGGGGACCCCTCCGGCCAGCTCCATGCCCAGCACCCGCGTTGTGCTGAGGTCTTTAATCACTGCTGGCACCCGGAAGAAGGGGTCATCTTCCAACAGCTGCCTGGGGCAGAAGGGAGGGGAGGGGATGGTTGGGGCTTCAGGCTCCTATGACCCAGCTCTAGGCCTCCTCCTCCTCCTCTGAGAAACCCTCCATGAGTGGTCTGTCTTGCCTTCCCTCTTGCCCTCCTCTTGCCTCTGTGTGTCCTGAGTGACAACCAATACCTGGCTAGATTGACATTCATTCATTCATTCATTCATTCATTCAACAAATATCTCTGTAGGGCCTACTCTGTGGCTGCCCTAAAGCCTGGTGCTCCTGGAGACACTTTACTACCGGAAACACTTCCATGACATCTGGTTGCCCCACAATAAGTTCAATGTATGAAGCTTGACGAACATTACTTTTTCCATCAACTTATTAATTAATCTATCCAAATAAATGGTCACTGATATACAAATCTCTAAGTCCATGGTGGTACTCATTGGCCACCCCTTGGAGTCAATACTGAGAACACTGATTAAGAGAAAGAATCCTTCTCAGTGTTTGTCCGTGTTGGACGATGCTGGGGGACATAGCAGTGGATGAACCCCAGGCCTACCCCTTACACACACCAGAGACCACACCAACCAACAGGCCAATAGTAGATTGAGATAAGTGTGTCAATGTAAGATTTGGGAGGCAGAAAATATGAGTGGGGCCTCTGGTTGGGGACTTGTGGGATGGTTGGAATGAGGTGGGGAGCAGGGAAATGGGGAGAGGCCAGGGGAATGATGTGGGTTTTATCCTAAGGGCACTGGGAAACCCTGTGAGGGGGGGCTGTCTCCAGATCCCAAGAGGAATGCTCTGGCCCAGCCCACTCTGCACCTTCCTCCTCCAGATCCTGCTTCGGGGCTAGTATTTTTGTCCTTGTTTATAAAACCTCTGATGTTTGAACCGATTTAATCAGCACAATTCCCTTTTATCCTCACACCTCTGTGAGGGTACTCTCCCAAGGCCACTGTGCAGATTCAGGCCACCCAGCCTGTTAAGGGCTGACCTGGGGCTGGATCTCACATCTGTCTGAGTCCAGGCCCATGCTCCTAGCCACTGCCTTCTACAGCCCTTTCACTCGTTCTGTATCTAGAGCTTGGCTCAATAAACGTCTGGCCACACTGGAGGATCTCACAGAGGTGTAATTAATTGCTGCATATCACGATGCTTCTAAGATACAACCACACTGTTCCCTGTATCTGTAGTTCATTCATTTTCTCTAATGTATGACATTCCACTGATGAATATACCATATTTATTAATCTACCTCCCCGAATGAATTTCATAGATTTGGGTTGTTTCCGATTTGGGGCTACTGCTGCTCTGAGCATTCTGGAAAAAGTCTGATGGTGTATACTGGCAAAGGTGTCCCTAGTGTATTTAGCTAGGAGGATGACTATTGGGCTGTATGTGACTATCGAGCCTTATTATATGATGCCAAGCTGTTCTCCAGAATGTTTATCTCAGTATCTCTTCCTGCCTATGGTGTATAAAGGATGCCTTGCAGCCCATTCTCTCCAACTCTTGACACTGTCATATTGCTCAATCTGTCAGTGCAGTGGGTGTAACGGTCACTCGCTATGTGACTAAGTGCCTGTTGACAAGTTCATCTCCCCATTGGACTGCAGTAGTTATCCAACCCATTCCACAGATGAGAAAACTGACACTTAGAGAGGAGTGACCTGCCCAAGTTCAGAGGACATGGATGGATGCATGAAGGGATGAATGGATGAATGAATGAAGACAGAGTTTACCGGTCCCACCCCAGGGCTTCAGCTGCCAGAGGCTGTGGGGGCAACCACTTCCCACTGAGCCTGGGAGGGAGGGAAGGAAGGAGGGAAGCTGGAGGGAAGGGGTCCCTCCAGGGGCCTGCAGCTCACCTGAAGTTCTGGGCACAAGCCGCCTCACGACGGTAGTCACACTCCCAAGCCAGCTCCTGTTGCAGAGCCTGCAGACTCTGCTCGGCAAACAGGCCTGAGAGGGACAGCCATGTCAGACAGGGAAGGCCACAGCCTGTCCCACCCCACCAGCCCAACCCCTCGGGATACCACTCATGGATGTCTTCTCTTGCCAGTCGTGTCTCTCACTCTGTGTCTGTCTGTCTCCCGCTGCCCCTCACACCTTCTGCTCCATGCCTTTTACCTGCATTGTGTGTCCACACACTTCCCGTCTTTCATACAACTGTGAGCTCTTCTGAAGTCTCTCTCCTGGGGTTTGTCTCTTTCACAGGCATGCACACCAGTCCCTAGGCATCTCTTTTAGTCACACGTGCCACCTACTCTTTTTCATACTGTCTTATATTCTCTCTGCTTGTGAACCTTACTTCTGCCTCTCTCTCTCTCTCTCTCTCTCTCTCTCTCTCTCTCTCTCTCTCTCTCTCACACACACACACACACACACACACACACACACCTTGCCCCATCTTCTTCAGGCTCTTTTTCATGTGCTGTAACACAAACATGATGTCCCACTTACACATCTACAGTCCCTCTCTGCACACACTGTGTGTGTGTGTGTTTCTGGATTTCGGTCTGGCCTTGTGTTTCTGTGTCTCTGTCAGAATCCCTAAATTTGTCTTTTTCTTACACACTTGTACTCTCTGGGCATTCCCTGCCTTGGTGTCCCTTCTTTCTGTCTCAAGCACACAGTTATACATCCACTCACGCACAGGCACCCCCTGCCCCGAGCTAGCCACTCTCCCTCCGTCCAGCCCCACTTTCTCTCTTCGGGGCACCCGTCCTGCAGGCAGGGGTGGAGTGGGCGCCTCACCCTCGGGCAGGGCCATGCTCATCTTGAGCACTGCCAGCAGGTTCTGGACATCGCTCTGGATGCTCTGGGCAACGCCTGGGTACTGTGAGGGAGGAGTGGGGGGAGGATGGGAGTCACTCCTCAGGGGCAGCAGGGTGCCCACCACGACCCATCTGGCCTCCCCTCTCACCTGGATCTTCACGGCCACCTCCGTCCCGTCCCTCAGCATGCCCTGGTGCACCTGCCCGATGGAGGCAGCGGCAAAGGGCACCTCATCCAAAGAGGCCACCTTGGCCTGCCAGTCCCTGCCGAGCTCCTCTTCCAGAACTCTCTGGGGAGAGTGGTCATAACAATCATCACCATGATTGGAAGCAGCTGAATGCATTTCCTGTGCCGAGCACTTCTTTACGTGCTAGTAACTTGGGTACTCGCCAAACGCCAGGTCCTGGGCTGATCTCTTGGCTGCTATCCCACTTTACAGATGAGGAAACTGAGGCTCAGAGAGATGTCTCTTGGCCAAGGTGACGAACCAGGCCCTGGTGGACTGAAAGGCCCAGCCCAAGCTGGTACTCCCAAGGTTGTCCAAGCTATTATCGGGGATTACTATTATGTATAGTTAAGATTGATAATAAGCCTTTAATATAATCGTATATTGTATAAAACTCCAAGTTAATGTGATAAAGAAGAGTTTAAATTTACAGAGGGCTTCCTGTGGGCCCGGCCTTGTTCAGAGTGGCTCAGAGAGCAGCAGTAATTGCCCTGGGTCATATGGTGAGTGAGCAGAACAGAGCTCAGAAGGCAGGCAGGTGGCTGGATTCCAGATTCCACACCCTTACCCAGTCATTAGAACAGCTCATGTCTTGGGCACTTACTCAGTGCCAGGAGCTGTGCCAACCTATTTACAGACATGCTCTCCTTTAATTAAAAAACCAGTGATAACAGTTAAAATTGGCATGGTGTGTCAGGGGCCCTTCTAAGTGCTATCCATATATTAATTTATGTGACACTCTGATGTACAATAGATGCTGCTATCACTATCGCCATTTCACAGATGAGGACACTGAGGCACAGGGGGATCAGGCCACACGACTGAGATCACACTGTAGGAAGTGGCAGAGCCAGAGTTTGAACTTATGAAGTCCAGCCCCTAACCACTGTGCTCCCTGCCTCTGTAACAGCTCACTGAGCCTGCCAGGGTCTGGACTAGGCGCTCTGCATCACCCTCTCATTGACTGATTGATTGATTGATTGATTTAATTTAAGCTGAGTCATCCTGCCACCTGTTGGCAGCTCAGCGGCAGCTCAGCTCGGGCCGGGACTCGAACCGCTGTTGCTCAGAGCTCGAACTCTTGAGTGAGCTATTAACCAACTGAGCCACTTGGCCAGCCCCCACCCTCTCATTTAATCACCAAAACATTCCTATCAGGTGTGTGCTTTGATGATCCCCATTTTACAGCTGGGGAAACTGAGGCCCAGAGTCAGATAGGGAGTAAAGCAGTGAAGCCAAGAGAGTCAGGCAGGTAGAGACCGCTTCCCTGGCCAGCCTTCCTTCACTGAACACTCACCAGCATCTGCCAGCGGGGCATGAAGTCGGCGCTCTGGCGGACCCGCTCAAAGATGCGCTGCAGCTGGGGACTGATGAAGCTGTTGTCTTGGGAGATAGGGAAACCAGGGACAAGGGAAACTGTGAGGGAGGAGGCGAGGTGGGCCCCTGTGGGAGTTTCTGAAGCTGGGGCTTGTGGGTGGGGGGTGGGGGGGTAGGAGTAAGGTCAGGGGTCGGGGGATCATGCTGTACCCTGGATGCTGAGCATTTGGCCAACCTTGAGGGCGGCCCCCCGAACTGTACACAAGGTCTGCACAATCCGCTCGGCATTGGCCTCTGACAGGAAAGGGCTGGAGCCTGGCTGGGAGCCGCTTTCTGGGGTGGAAGGAATGATCATTAGTATTACAACCACAAAAACAATCAGCAGGATGCCACTACACACCCACCAGGATGGCTAAAATGAAGAAGACAATACCAAGGGGTGCCAAGGATGTGGAGCAGCCCGAATGCCAACACTGCTGAGAAGCGTGCCATGGCACAAGCTCTTTGGAAAATATTGGGGAAGTTTCTAGTAAAGCACACACCTATACCAGATGCAGCTTCTCTCCCAGGTGCATGCCCAGGAGAAATGCGTGTTCACTGACAGATATGCCAAGGAGCACTACTCATGACAGTCCCAAGCTGGAAACATCCTAAATGACAGTCAATACAATGCACAAAGGAATTGCGGGACAGTCACAGAGTGACTACTATAGCCTGGAATAAAGCACCAACATCCACTCACAGCAACACGGATGCCTCTCTCAAAAAGAATGTTGAGCTAAAGAAGCCAAACACACACGAAAATACACTGTCTGATTACATTGGTGCAAAGAGCCAAAACAGGAAAAACTAATCTTGGGGTCAGAAGCCAAGACGGTGGTTACCCTTGATGGTGGTAGATCACTCAGGTAGGAAGTGGCAGAACCAGAGTCTGAACTTATGAAGTCTGGCCCCTAACCACTACACTCATTGCCTGCCAGGGACTGGACTAAGCGCTCTGCACCACCCTCTCATTTAATTCTCGCAACAGCCCCATCAGGTGTGTACCAGGACGAGGCTTGACAGGAGCTTCTGGAGAACCAGGGAAGCAATACTCAAAGTGTGGTCCAGGGATACCTCAGGGTCTCTAAGACCCTTCAGAGGGTCTGTGAGATCAAAACTATTTTCATAGGGCAGGCCGAGTGGCTCAGTTGGTTAAGAGCACAAGCTCTGAGCAACAGGGTCACCAGTTCGATTTCCACATTGGCCAGTGAGCTGCACCTGAGCTGAGCTGCCGATGAACGGCAGGATGGCAACTGGACTTGGAGCTGAGCTAGCTGCACCCTCCACAACTAAGATTGAAGGACTACAACTTGGCTGTTCCCCTTCCCCAATTCCCCACTAAAATCTTTAAAAAAAAAACTATTTTCATAAAAATATTAATATGTTATTTGCCCTTTTTTTTTAACTCTCATCCTCCTACAAATTGTTCGGTGGAGTTTTCCAGAAGTCCCGTGACCTGGGATGATGCCATTGCTCTGTTGGCTGATGGAATGTGTGTTCTTATATTTTAAAATTTCTGTTTTAATCTCTAATACAGTAAATATCCATAAATATAACCCACATAAACAAGCTCTTTGGGGTCCTCATTTTATATAACAACTTTATTGAGATACACTCGTAATTCACATACCATATAATTCACCCATTTAAGGTGTATATATAGTTCAATGGTTTCTATTATAGTATATTCAGCATTGCACAACTACCACCACAACCAATTCCAGAACATTTTCATCACCCCAAAAAGAAAGCCCTTATCTATTAGCAGTCACCCCCCTATTTCTGCCAACCACTTTCCCCCAAACTCCTGGAAACCACTAATCTACTTCCTGTCTCTATTACATTTCCCTATTCTGGGCATTTCATATCAATGGAATAATATAACATGTGGCCTTCTGTGTCTGCCTTCCTTCACTTAGGACAGTGTTTTCAAGATTCATCCACATTGTAGCATGGATAAGTACTTGATTCCTTTTTATGGACGGATAATATAACACATTTTTTTTTTAATCTATTCCTCGGTTTTAAGGGTGTGCAGGGATCCTGAGACCAAAAAAATTGGAGAAATACTCTTCTAGGGTTTCTTGATATGGGTGCACAGATGCATCCATTCTGTGAAAATGAATGAAACTGTATGCTTATGATATGTGCATGGTTCTATATGCAAATTATATTACTTAGTAAAGTGTTTATTAAGCTTTTATTCATTTTCTTAACAATTTATTGAACTCTTTATTGAGGGCTTACCCTGTGTCAAGCAGAATCCTAAGTGTCTCTGTGGATTCTCTGGCAGAATCCCCACAATCACTCCCGGAAGTAAGAACCAGAACTACCAATGCCTTAATTTTCTTTCTTTCTTTTTCTAATTAAAATTGGGGTGACAGTTGTTAGTAAACTTACATAGGTTTCAGGTGTACAATTCTGTATTACATCATCTATATATCACATTGTGTTCACTACCCAGAGTCAGTTCTCCTTCCACCACCATATATTTGATCCCCTTTACCCTCATCTGTCACCCCCTTCCCCACTTCCCCTCTGGTAACCACACCTTAATTTTCAAGGTGACAAAACAAGAGATTCAGAGAGGTGCAGTGCCTGGCCCTGGGTCACACAGCACAGAAGTGGCCAAGCACAGTGCAAATTGTTTGGCCTTACCCTAAAGCCTAATCCTAGACCTACCTTCAATTTTTTTAGTTTGAAAAAAATCCAAAAGACAGAAAAGTTGCATCATAAACACCCATACACCTTATTCAAACATTTTAATGTTCTGCCTCACCTGCTTTATCTCTGTGTACCTACACACTTACTATTATTTTTTGCTTGGAGTTGCACTCATCCTGTGCTAAGAATAAGGATATTCCCCTACACAGTCAGTGCCTCAATCACATCTAAGAAAATTAACACTGATTATCTAATATCCACTATCCAGTCCATATTCAGATTTCCCCAATTGTTCCCAAAAGTGTTTTATAGTTATTTTTTTCTTAAAATTTTTTTTTTCAATTATAGTTGACATTCAATATTATAATAGTTTCAGGTGCACAGCTTAGTGGTTAGACATTTATATAACTTATGAAGTAATCCCCCAATAAGTCTAGTACCCACCTGATACCACACATAGCTATTACAATACTATTGACTATATTCCCTATACTGTACTTTACATCCCTGTGATAGTTATTTTTTTCCAACTGGCATCCAATCATGGTTCACACATTCCATTTATCAGTTATTATCTCTCTAGTCTCTTTTTAATCTAGAATATCCACAGCCATTTTTGTTTTGGCTATTGACTTGTTAGGGGAATCTTACCCACACAGGCAGATCTCTAGACATCTCATTCCATCTCTCTTGTACACAGACCCCCACTGGCACTATTTTCAGCTTTCGTCTTCTGCTCAGAGCTAGGAACTCAACTCCTGATGACTTTTTAAGTTTTTTCCTCATGATCTGCTTCTATCCATCACAACCCTGATAGTGACTTTGCCCCATGTTCTGAGCACTTCACAATGGACATATTATCATCACTTCCATTTTCCACATGAGGAAACTAGGACTCTGAGAGGTGAAGCCACTTGCCCCAGGTCACACAGCCAGGCCAGGGTCTGAACCCAGGCAGCGTGGCTCACTCACCTGACTGTAGATATCCTCCAAGCAGGGACTTTTTGGCCACCTCGGCCAGTGCTCCCAGCCCCAAGCCCACGGCCAGTCCTGGGGAGTGAGAGAGCAGCCTGAGTGCCCGCTTGCCTGGGGCTTTCTCCCACAACCCTCTCTCTTCTCTGTCTCTCTCTAAGCACACTTGCCTTCCAGCTCTTTGCTGCCAACCTTCTACATGTTATTACAATATTAGTTATTAAAATATTATTGAATATATTCCCTAAACTGTACTTTACATCCCCATGATAGCTATTTTTTTCCAACTGACATCTAATCATGGTTCACACATTCCATTTGTCCCTAGCTCAGTCTCTTACTCTCTCCCTGCTTGGGGTTCCCTTCAAGGTGAGGCTGCCTCTTTTTCTATCCACTCTCCAGGTCTTTGTCCCCTGTGTCAGCAGTTCTCACCCCTGGCTGCACATTTGAATCACGTGAGGCGCTTTTGTAAATACAATGCCCAGGTCCCACCCCTGAGGTTCTGATTAAACTGGCCTGCGATGAGGCCTTAGAATTTGCTTTTTTTTTTTTTCCCAAAGCATCCCAGTTGATTCCAGTGTACAGCCAAGGGTAAGAAGGCCCAAAATGATCCCGCCAAATCTCTCTGTGACTTCCTGTGACTCCTACCTGTTTCTCTGTACACGCCTCCTCTTTTCATGCTCACATTTTCTTTTCCAAGCCAGTTATTTCTCCATCTTCCCCCTTCCCCTCTACCTGGCACATCTGCCTAGGCCTCTTTCTCTCCATTCCTCCTTTTGATGTTATCTCTCTAGCTCTGATTTCCTCTGTCTCTTCTCTCCCATTATCCCCAAAGATATCTCAAGTCTCTCTGCCCTTTTCACTGTCACCATCTCTGTAAATAATCATAGCTGACACTTTCTGAGCCCTTTCTACATGCCAGAGACTTATTCCTAGTGCTTTAATGTATTAACTAATTTTGCCCTCACACCTTCATGAGATTAGTTTTATAGGAAAACTTCCATTTTACAGAAAAGGAAATCGAGGCCCAGAGAAGTTAAGTAACTCATCCAGAGTCACAAAGTGAGATGCAGCAGAGTCACCCCTTGAACCTTGGGAAGCCTGGTGTTAAAGCTCTACTGCATTTGACTCCCTCTTTATGCTGTGAATCAGTATCTTTAAAACTTGATCCGCATTATAACTGGTATAGACCAATGTATACATATATAATGTTTCATGAAACAAGATTTTTCGTTACTCTACAGGTGCACTCACATTTTCCATTCTATTCTTCTTAATGCTGGTTTCAACCCACTAAATTATTTCGCGCAGATTGTGACCTGAAGTTTGAACAATCCTGCTGCTTGATCTAGGGTCGAGTCCCTTCACCTCCCTTAGCCTCCATGCCCTCCCTCATCTATACAATGGAAATAAACACTCATAGACTCAGTGCAGAGATCACATGTATGGTAACTTGCACATTCTTCCAAGTTCTCAATACATATTATGTTCCTCTCTATTTCTCTTGGTTTTGCAGACCTTTGCCGTCACTCTTTCCGTCTCTCCCTCTTCTCTGTCTCTGATTCACCCTCTCCCTTGCCTCTTTCTGTAAATATCGCTTCCTCTGAGCTAGGTCACAATCTCCCAGTCACACCTACCACCAAAGTTGGCCAAGCGGCTGATGCGGGAAGCGGGCACCTTGCGTTCTCGAGAGCGGTCACTCAGCTGGGAAATGGGAAAAAGGTATGAGGATGGGAAGGTGGGCATAGTGCCCAGGGAGTACAACCAACCTGCTGCCACACCCTTCCCCAAGCTTGGGGGAGCCAGCTGGCTTCATGGGGTGTTGCTGGGTGGGTGGGAAGCAATGATACCTGGGGCCGGGGTGTCTTCCTGGGCCGGGCCTCGCGTGCCTTGCGAATGTCCTCCTCACCTAAGCCTCTGCCAGGCCTATCCTGATGAAACTTTTGGGCCCAAGTACCCACACATGGCCCCTGCAAGAGATGTGGACATTGGTAAGGAGTGGAGGACATGGGGTCTGCCTGGCCCTTTGGATCCCTCCCTGTCCATTTACTCACTGACACCTCCTTCAGCCTCTTCCCCTTGGAGAGCCCTTACCAGCCTCTTACCCACCAATGGAGCCCAGGCCCCAGGGCCCCACAAAGCAGACCAACAGTCTGGCCCAGCTGTCCACAGGTCCCCCGCAGTAGGCCCCCCCCTTTCGGCCACATTGCCTGGGGGAGAAAAGGAGGGATTATTCGGGTAGTTGTGGGACTGACCTCCCTCTCTGCTTTGCTCCCCGACCCCCACCAAGCCCTCACATTCCTGTGTCCATCCTAAGACTCCCACCCACCGAAATACTTCCTCCCCTGCTACAGGCCCCTCCAGTTTCTCCTGGTTCCCTCTCTCGTTGCTAGGAACCCATAGCTCTTCTTGAGCACCTTCCAAAAATCACTCCCCACCGTCTCAATCTCCGCCGTTGCTAGGGTCCTCCCCTGTTGCTAGACACCCACAGATCCTCCAGGACTCTCTCTCCACTTGAGCCCCCCTGGTCGCTAGGCACCGCCTTCCCCTCTGTTGCTAGATACCCACAATTCCTCCCGTGTCCCCCCTACACACCCAGCCCGTTAATGGACACCTCCCCCGTTGCTAAGCACCCACTGGTCCCTGGCTCCAGGTCCGCAAGCGAAAGGGCCTCTTGTATTTCCGGGAGTGTCCGCATGCCCGCCCCCTCCGGTCAGCTAGCCAATGACGGAGCAATAGCTCTCGGGCACGAAACACTACCCGCTGTGCGTAGCGGGTGTGGGCGGAGCCTAAGGGTGGGCGTTGGGGCGTGCGGAGAATGGCCGGGGCAAAGCCGGAGCATGCACGTGCCCTTTTATGCCTTTCCACTCGTCTCTAAGTGCCTATTGCGCGGCGGATCTTTCTGACCTCTACACCGTCTTGTTTGCAAACATCCCTCTCCCTTACAAATTCCACAACTCTCCTCTGCACAAACATCTTGTCAACCTCCCTTATTTCTACCCCCAGCAGGCTCAACATCTCTCCGTTGAACACACGTCTTCCCAGCAAACATTTCCCGTGCACATGGAGCCTCTCCACGTCGCACACCCACCCTCTGCTTCAAACACCCACATCCTGGCACTCAGCCTCCTCCCTGGACATATAAACCTTGTTTCTTGCTGGCCAACTGTCTCCCTCTTGCACTGTCAACTCGCTGATGTACATAAACCCCCTCACACTCAGCCTCTTGCACCATGGGCCCCTGCTTCCTCATATTCCCTGCTATCTCTGCTCCATGTCCACCTGCAGGATGGTGTGAGTGGGACCGCTCTGTTTCCTGTAGGCCTGACATTTCCCAGAACACAGTCAGCCAAGATTCCCAGAGCTGAGTCAGGAGACTTGGCATTCCAGAAAACCAGCTCCCAGCGTGTGTGTGTTTGTGCAGGCCAGCTTAAAACTTGCTCCCCCCACAACAGGCTGACTCACCTCTCTTCTCACAGTCTGGAATAGAAGCAGCTGGCTGGGGCCTGCCTCTCTCACTGATGGGAGAAGGAGGGATGTGGCGCTTTCCCCCCAGCACCCCTGCCCCTGTCTAACCCCTTTGTCAGGAATCAGACCTCCCTGTTTCTGTCCCTGTGCAGTGTGACCTCAGAAGAGCCTTGGCCCTTTCTGGAACTCAGAAGAGCCTTGACCGCTTCCCAGCCTGTATGATATGCTAGGGGGCCCCTGCTATGATTTTTGGTCTGTGAAAAGGTGACTCATTTTAGAGCCCTGGGCCTGTGTCCAATGCCCCTCCCAAAGGTGACTCAAATTCAAGACAGAAACCCTCCCTGCTCCCCCCACAACATCCCCCTCCAGACGTAAGAGTCTGACTCAGGAGCTGGGTGACAGATCTCCCTTGAGGGTAAAAATATATAAAAAGCACCTATGACAATAACTAATTTACAGGACTGTGGCGGATGGTACCAAGCCTGGTGCCACATGTTTCACATACATGAGGTCATATTAAATAGCCTGGTGGCTACAAACCAAGGCTAGAGGCTGGCAGGTCTCTGAGCCTCAGTGTCCCCATCTGTAAAATGGGGCTGTGGCATTCCCTCCTGCTCAGTGTTAGAGAGAGATGCAGTGAAACTGTATGTAAAGAGCTTGGCACAGGGCCTGGCACAGAACAAGAGCTCTATACATGAGATAAATTTCTTAGGGAAAAGTCACTCTTTTCAAAATTTCTATTAAGCGTTTACCATGTACTTTTCTAGGCAGTGGGGACATAACAAGGAACAAAATAGGCAAAAATCTTTGCCCTTTTGGTGCTGGCTTCTGGTGAGGGGTACAATAAAAAACAATAAGTACAGGCATACCTCATTTTATTGCGCTTCCCTTTATTGCGCTTTGCAGATACTGCGTTTTTTACAGGTTGAAAGTGTGTGGCAACCCTGCCTCGAGCAAATCTATCGGTGCCATTTTTCCAAAAGGCTCAGATGATAGTTAGCACTTTTTAAAAACACAGTATTTTTTAAATTAGGATATGTACATTGTTTTTTTAGACATAATGCTATTGCACACTTAATAGACTGTAGTATAGTGTATACATAACTTTTATATGCACTGAGAAACCAAAACATTCATCTGACTTTCTTTATCTCAATATTTGCTTTATTGAGGTGGTCTGGAACCGAACCCACAATATCTCTGAGGTATGCCTGTATATTTAATGAGGTGACATATGTTAAAGAGAAAAATAAACCTAGGAAGGGGGGGCAGGGAGTGGAGGAAAGATGTGAGATTAAATAGGGTGCTCAGAGAAGTGCTCACTGAAGAGGTGACATTCGAACAAAGAACTGAAGGAGGTGAACGAGGAAATTATTGGAATTTCTGGGGGAAGGGTGTTCCAGGCAGAGGAAACAACCAGTACAAAACCCCTGTGGTAGAAGATATCTCAGAGAAATAGCAAAGAAGCCAGTGGGCAGAATGAGTGAAGGGAAAAGACAGAGTGAAGGTCTGGGAGGTAACTGGAGCCAGATCACATAGAGCAGTGGTTCTCAACCTGTGGGTCGCGACCCCTTTGCGGGTCAAATGACCCTTTCACAGGGGTCGCTTAGACCATCGGAAAACAAAAAAATACTTACAATTCATAACAGTAGCAAAATTACAGTTATAGAGTAGCAACGAAAATAATTTTATGGTTGGGGGTCACCACAACATGAGGAACTGTATTAAGGGGTCGCGGCATTAGGAAGGTTGAGAACCGCTGACATAGAGTATAGTGAGTCACCCTGAGGACCGTGGCTTTAACCCTGAGGGGGATAGGAACCGTGGAGTATTCTGAGCAGAGAAGCTTCAGTCATGATCTGACGTAGAGAAAATACTCCTAACTTCTGGTTCCTCCTCCAACATCCCAGCCTCAAAAGCAGATTATAGCACCCAGTAGGGACCAATCCAGATTTTGAATTAGGTTTGTCTGGGTTCAAATCTACACAACTTAGATACGAGTATGTGATCTTGACTCACTGCTTTCTTTGCCTTTCTGTGCTTCTGTTTCCTTGACTACGCAATGGGGATGATGACCTACCTCACAAGATTTGGGGTATAAAGTGGTAAGTACAGTGCCTGGCACAAAGCAAGTGCGCAAATGCACATGTTGTTGTAAATGAATAAAAATTCCCCTAACAACCCTGTGAGGAAATTATCATTGCTATCCGCTTTCTAGATGAGGAACTGAGGCTCAGAGGAGGCAAGTCTGTTGGGAAACAGCCTACTGGAAGTGAGTGTTGGAACCAGGATTTGGCTAGGCATCCTAGCTTCAGAGTTAAGGCCCTGGCTTTGTCCCAAATCTAACCTGCCTTTGACCTTAAACAAATTCTTTTACTCTGGGCCTCAATTTCCCTGTTGGTAAAGTGCTTGGCTCTTGTGGCATCGAACACACATTTTTCGAAACAATAATATTGTGTATCCTCAGTTTGCAGGTGACAAAATTGAGCCCGGGGCTGAGATACGTGGCCTAAGTCACACGCTCAAGGTAACACAACTAGAAATCACAAAGGCGGGTCTTGAACCCACATACCTGGGATTCTCAGGTCTTTGAAACTGAGTCCCTGCTGTGCCTGAAAAAAGGACGCGCTGCTAGACTCGTCATCGAGGTTTATAGGTAGGATAAACTGGTCACTCGCGGGTGAAGGGAGGTTGGATTAGTTGCAGGGGTCTAGGGAGGAGCCCCACTAGCCCGCAACCAGGACATCAAGAAGGTCCAGACCCAATCTGGACGAGCGCCCGACACTGGGAATCCACCCCCTCCCTTCACGAGAGAAGGGCGGGCTTAGGGAAGGCCCGCCCGTACGTCACGTCCTGTGGGGCGGGGCTTCGGAGCTTTCCCCCGGAGGAGGAGTATCGGTTAACCCCTGCGTGGCCCGGAGGGTTGGAGCTCAGCGGGCCGGAACTCGGGAGTTGGGGCTCCCCAGCCACACCCCTCGCGGGATTTAAAGGGGCAGGAGGGGCTGGGTCCAGCCAAAGCCTGAACCAAGGGAGCGGGCATGAGGCGCTGCCCGTGCCGGGGGAGCCTGAACGAGGCCGAGGCCGGGGCGCTGCCGGGAGCGGCCCGCATGGGACTGGAGGCGCCGCGAGGGGGGCGGCGGCGGCAGCCAGGGCAGCAGCGACCTGGGCCCGGCGCTGGGGGCCCGGCGGGGCGGCCGGAGGGGGGCGGGTCCCTGGCCCGGACCAAAGCGTCCTGCCTTCACACCGAGCGCGAGAGGGCCGGCTTCGGGCCTGAGCCCAGGACAGATGGCCAGGCTGAGCCTGAAGCAGCTGGCCTCGGAACCGAGACGGAGCGGCCCAGCCAAAATACGGAGCCAGATAGGTTCAGCCTCTGGGCACATCCAGAAAGGAGCAGCCACTGGTCAGAGCTGGAGACAGCCGATCCCTGGACGGAGACTGAGACAGATGGATTTTGGACTGATTCACGCGGGTCCGACCTCCAGCCTCAGCCAGAAAGGGCCAGCCTTTGGACACAACCCGGCGTTGATGGGCCCTGGACAGAGCTAGAAATACATGGGTCACAGACCCAGCCAGAGAGGGCCAAGCCTTGGGCTGATAACCTCTGGACCCACCAGAAGAGGTCCAGCTTCCTAATTCAGCCAGAAGGGGCCTGGCCCTCAACAGAGCGAAGTGTTGATGGCTCCTGGAAAGAATTGTACATTGATGGTTCCAGGACACAGCCTCACACTGGTGGCTCCCAAATACAACAGGATACTGAAACAGCCTGGAAACAGCTTGGCACTGATGGTTTCTCAATACAACAAGCTACTGATGGCTCCTGGCCACAACCTGGCACTGATGGTGCACAGACACAAGATACTCATGGATCCCAGACAGAGCCTGGGACAGACTGCCTTTTGGGGGAGCCCAACCAAGATGGCCCATTAATGGAACCAGAACTTGGGGAGTTGGTGACTCACCTGTACTCTCACTTGGAGTATAACTCCCTGACCCCTGTGCCCCGCCTCATCATCACTCCTGAGACCCCTGAGCCTGAGGCTCAACCAGTGGGACCCCCCTCCCGGGTTGAGTTGGGCAGTGGCGGCTTCTCCTCTGCCTCCTCTTTCGACGAGTCTGAGGATGACGTGGTTGCCGGGGGTGGAGGTGCCAGCGACCCTGAGGACAGGTCTGGGGTGAGTGGGATCCATCCTGCCCTTAAGCCACACACCCCCTAGACCTCTTATCCCCCTGCCTTTGCTTTGAGAAGTTTTCTAGCATCTACCAGCAATTTCATCTTCAGGTACCTCTTCCATCCACTGCCATCTCCTTCCTCTGACAGGCGATTTACTAGCCCACTCCAGGCACCCTCCTAATTAATCCTCTCCTTTCCCCCTCACACACTGCCTCCAGTACTGGGGTCTAAAATGCATGGCCACTGGCTGACTTCATGCTGCCCAGGAATGCCTGAGATGGTGCGATTGTGTGAGTCTGTGTGTATATAGAGACATTTTTGCAGGAAGGTCTGTAACTTTTGTTGGATCCTCTGGAAAGCGTATTTATGACCCCAAAATCTGAAGAGCACTCATATAGAGGGACAGAAAAAGTGTAGTTTCTACCCCAAATTTCTTAGTCTGGGGCCTGTGCTGCCTTAAGGGATCATAAACCTGCACCACCCTTTAGCCCATTCACTTTTGTAGGGAGTAAGCCCCAAGCTTTTATCATCACAAATGGCTGTGTGAACCCAAAATGCAAAGGGACCCCTAGCCTAGCCAGCTACTCTGTGGTTTCCCAGTTGTTCCCCAGCTCCCTAGAGGGCCCTCAGCAGACTCTTGTTTACATCTTCCACCCTGACCCCCAGCTTGGGTGCGGTTCTCCCCTGGTGAATCAGGAGGGCCCAGCTGGGCAGGTTTAGGAGGGCGAGTCACTGCAAAGGCAGGTGTGAGAGTGGGCCCACCCTCCGGGTCCTCCCATTGTTCTGGGGCCTCTGATTGGAGTCCGCATTGAGCACCCCTCACCCCACATGCCTCCCTTAGGAACGTGCTCACACATGTGGCCACAGATGTAAGAGACAGACCTGCCTCAACTTGCCTGTGCCAGAGTTGACCCGCGGGCTGTCTGCCATTGCCATTCCCTCTGCCTACTCCCTCACCTCCTTGGCATCTCACAGCAGCTGAGCTGGAAGTGGGTGGGAAAAAAAGCAACTAGTACTTGTGCCCAGCCCTGTACTAAGCTCTGTTAACTCATTTAATCCTCACAGCCCTAGCAGTGAGATAATTTTATCATCCCATTTTATAGATGAGGAAACTGAGGCACAGAGAGGTCAAGACACTTGTCCAAGGTCACACACCTTGGAAGACACAGACCTGATATTGAAACCCTTACTGAATACCTGGCACCTTTTTAAGTGCTTTATATGTGTTAAGTCTTTGAATTCTTGTAACAGCACTATGAGATTGGGATGCTTATTATCTCCATTTTACAGATGAGGGAACTGAGGTCCAGAGAGGTGAGGTCACTTGCTTAGTTAGGGTTGGCCAAGTCTGGTCAGAGCCAGGATTCTAGCTCAGTTCTAGCTGAGTTTAAAACCTAGTCGTTTTAACCCCTGCAGTGTGTAGATCCCTCCCTCACCTACTTTCCTGCCAGTTTCCTGCCAGGTTTCCCTGTCTCCAGTTTTTCTTTATCTTTCACGATTCTTCCTACATGGCCCACTTCTGATCAAGTTTTGAACTTTCCCTGCTCCGGCGCCCTCCATGGCTCCCCTGGGCCTTCCTGATAGTGATCAGGAGGAGTCCAGTCCTATGTTCAGAGCTTCCTGTCTCCAGGCTCCTTCCCACGTTCAGCTTCCCTTCTCCACCCCTGACCCCCTTTGCTGTAACAAAGCCCAAGTACACACTGTTCCTCCAACACAGCCGCCATCCTGCCTCCACTCATTGCTCAAGCTGTTCCCATTGCCCAGAATACCCTCTCTTCCTTCTCGCTTCATTTTGAAATCCAATCTGACCTTAAAGGCCCAGCTACTTTCTTCCTTTTCTCCCCCTTCCTTCCTTCTCACATCCATCCCATCCTCCTAATCAGACAGCAGTCCCTGAGCCCCTGCTATATGTCTGGCCCCTTGTTGGCTTCGCTGGGGACATAGCAGTGACCAAGACACTGCCCTCATGGGGCTCCCAGGCCAGGGGAGGAGACAGACCCATCACTAGGCTGCGACAGCTCAGAGTGGTCAGGGCTGGGATTGGGGAAGCCCAAGGAGTTGTGGGAGTCCAGAAGAGGTGACTGGCTAGACCTAGGGTATCAGAGAGGGCTTCCTGGAGGAGGGGGCATGTGAGCTGAGACCATCCTGAAATCATCCCAGATTAACCATCATATCTAAAAAAGAGAGAGACAGAAGATACTGAATCTGCCTAAGATTAAAAAAAAAAAAAGATAATTTCAACCAACCTCCTTCAATCCACACAGTGTTTTTGGAGCATTTGCTGTGTGCCAGGCCATGGGTTGGGACACAGCCATAATCATGGCAACCCTAGTCCCTGCCTTCAGAGCTTGTAGTCTAGTAGGGATGGGGTGGGTAAGCCTAGGGCAGTGGGGTCAGACCAGAGGTAAAACCAGCTCTGTGCTGTGTGATTTGGGCAAGTGACTTCACCCTTCTGAGCTTGTTTCTTCCTCTGTAACAGAGTCAACAATCCTCCTGGGGTTGTGTTTTTAGGATTAAGTAGGTTATAGCACATTGAGTCTTTGTCATTATGCCTGGAATGTTCCAGGTGCTTAGTAAACAGGAACCTTTATTAATCACCTCCTCTCCACTCCCACTCGGGCAGCTGGGCACCGGAGGGAATAGCTCTTCCTGAATCCTCCAGTCCAATACTTTGATTCTGCTTGACCTTCCTACCTCAATTAGATGTCTGCTACGCAACTGGGCTCTGAGGGGGTCAGAGAGAACATGGCCTTGACCCTGGGGTGGCAGGGAGGGCTGGGGAAATGGGGGTGGGATGAGCCACACAGCTTCCTTCTGTGGAGATGACCAAATTCTCCCAATTCTTGCTAAAGGCCTGCTGTGTGCTTAGAGCTGTGTGTGCGCGTGCGTGCGTGCGTGCGTGTATGTGTGTGTGTGTGTGTGTGTGTGTGTGTACGCACACACATGCATGTGAACCCAGTCTCAAGAAGCTCTTAGTTGACTCAACAAGATACAGCTAAGTTCTTGTTTTCTGTTTGCTTCTCTGGTTTTCTATTGCCCTCTCTCTGTTTTTCTCTGCTTCTATCTTTGTCTTTCTCTGCCATTACTTTGTATTTGTGTCTCCCTTTCTGTCTTTCTACATTTCTTTCTTTCTCTTCTAGTAACTTTGTGCCTATTAGTCAGAATAGGTCAGGACTTGCTGTAGGAACAAACAATCCCAGACAGCTCTGTGCGGTGCTGTCTTCACGCAGGGCCCAAGCTGAGGAAGCCTCCATTTCTCTTTTCACCCCGTTCTACAGTAGGGAAAAGAACATGGCGAGTCGCACACTGGCTTTAAGGCTTCCACCCAAAAGTTACACTTCTGCTCATATTTCATTGGTCAAAGCAAGTCAATAACCTAAGTTCAAAAGGGCAGGCATATGCCTGCAAGGGGGAGGGCTGGAGCTATCTGGTGAGCAGTTCTCATGACTGCCGCAACCTTTGTCTCTGTCATCAATTTGTCATTCATGTCTTGGTTTCTTCTCTTTCTGTGATTCAGCCTCCATCCATCAACTCCTGCCTCTGTCATTTTCCCCAGAAGGTATCACTTGGTTTGGGGACGGAGATGAGGCTTCCAAGTTTTTGGTGTGTGGGGGTGGGGCGCGGATATTTGGGGATTGCTTGTTACTGCATCACAACCTGGCCTATCTTTACTCATCTGAGGGGCCAGAGAGACACAGATACAAAAGAAGTGGTGATAGAGAAAAATGGACAGAGACCCTTCCCCACCTGTGTGGAGGCCTTTGGGGAATCTTGTGATTGCTGGAATAAGTGGGCTTGGCTCACCCCAGTGAGCTTGGGACCAGTGATCCCAGGAAGCTCCCTGGTCCTTGGAAGGCCCCAGGTCTGAGGCAGGACATTCACTTTCCTGCATCTGTCTCGCTCTTGAATTCTTTCTTGTGTGGAGACAAGAACCCTGTCACCGCTGCTTTGGATTGAGTCCTCACTTTGAGATCCCTGTGAACCTTTGGCGACAGGTCCATCTTCATTCCCTCTCATGGCAGCACCCCCATCCATCCACTTCCCTCCCCAGCCTCAGCCCTGACCCCACCCTGCTCTGCCCCACACAGAACAAACCGTGGAAGAAGCTGAAGACAGTTCTGAAGTATTCGCCGTTTGTGGTCTCCTTCCGAAAACACTACCCTTGGGTCCAGCTATCTGGACATGCTGGTGAGAGCAGGGTGTGGGGGCTGGCGGGGGGCAGACAGGGCTGGGCAGAGATGCTTGGGCTGGGGAAGGAAAGCTACAGAGCTATTCTCTGTAGTTCAGTTTCCCATCTGTAAAATGGGTTCGGTGCCGACCCCCACCTCATGGGGCTATTATGAGAAGTGCTTAGGCCTGGCCTGGTCATTTATACACCAGAGCAGAAGGTTGTTCCCTGTTATCCCAGTATTGGGGTGTGGAGTGGGGGTGTAAACCCACAACCCTGGGGACAAATGGGCCTGGGCTTAAAGCCTAGTTCTGCTCTTTATTTGTGGGTGACCCGGGAAATTTCCTTTCCCTCACTGGGCCTCAGTTTCCTCATCTGTAACATAGAGATAATCATACCTCCTTTGCAGGACTAACTGAAGGGTTAAAATTAAAATGTATATGGAGACTGAGACATAGGCCCCTCATGAATGGACGTTATCATTCCCTGTCCTCACCCTGTGTCCAGAGCCCAGTAGGCCTCCAATAAACAACAGCTATAATGGTTTTTCCCCAGGGCCTAGAATAATGTATCCAGTACATAAGAGCACAATGCCTGGCATGTAGCATTTTTCCATAAAGAGTTAGACAATAAATATCTTATTTTCTGTGGACTATATGGTCTCTGTCACAACTATTCAACTCTACTGTGACAGCACAAAAGCAGCCATAGATAATATGTAAACATGTCTGTGTTCCAATAAGGTTTTATTTACAAAAACGGGCAGTGGGTTGACCTAGGACAAACCATGCCCACCAGCAAAGGGAGACAGGAGGGGAACTCACCTGCCGTGTTCATCCTAGATCTGAGTCAGAGAAAAGGCAAGGCTCCCCTGAAACTGTAAACACAAGCCTGCCATCTATATGTGTCCTAGTTACTATTGCTGAGTTATAGCAAAAACCAAAAAACAAGAAAACCTCAAAACTTAGTGGTGTTTTAAAAAAGTAAAACTTAGTGGAATGAAACAACCATTTTATTATAGTCACATGTTTTGGGTCAGGAATTCAGACAGAGCATGGCAGGGATGGCTTGTTGCTGCTCCATAACATCTGGCAACTTAGCTAGGACAGCTTGAATGGTGCAAGCTGGAAACTTTTGGAAGGTTATTCACTCACATGCCTGGCGATTGATGCTGACAGTTATTGGCTGGGTCTCAGCTGGGGCTGCTGGCTGGAAAGCCTCTGTGTGGCTTCTCCATGTAGCTGCTTGGGCTTCCTCACAGTATGGTCACCGCGAGTAGCAAGATTTCTTATGTGGCAGCTCAGGACTGCAAAGTGTGTCTGCCAACAAAGTGGAATCTGCTTTTATGACCTAGACTCTGAAGTCACACAGTGTTGCTTCTGCCATAAACCCTCTCAGATTTAAGGGGAGAAGAATGAGATTCCACTCTTTGCTGGGGAATGACAAAATTCTCGAAGACTGTGTGGGACAGTAGCTATTGCAGCCATTTTTGGATAATACAATCTGAAAATGCAATCTGCCTCAATAAGAATTTTTAATTCTAATTTATACTTTCTCTCTGCGTGGTCTAGGAAATGCTTGATTTGTAAATTAACTTAAATAGGTCCCAGTTGTTAGCTCCCTGGGAGCCCAGGCAGAAGCAAACGCACGTCTGCTCTGGAGAGTCAAGTTCTTGACTCAGATCTCACAAAAATTCCCACAGCTGATTGTGAGCTCACAATCCAAAATTACAAAACAAATGACGATGCACTCTGCTGTGAAGAGGACTTTGTCTAAACAAAGTAGAAATAGGCCCTTCCCTTGCCATCCCCTGGCCAAGATTTTGAGATTTGCAGGGAGGGAGAGAAAGCATTGCAGAAGGGTCAGGCAAAAGGACAGGGGCCAGGTCTGATGCCTACAGGAGATTCTCTTGCTGATCCAGTCCTGACGCTCTTATTGACTGTGCTGCTCCTAGGGAACTTCCAGGCAGGAGAAGATGGCCGGATTCTAAAGCGTTTCTGTCAGTGTGAGCAGCGTAGCCTGGAGCAGCTGATGAGCGACCCCCTGCAGCCTTTCGTGCCAACTTACTATGGCGTGGTACAAAAGGATGGCCAGACCTTCAACCAGATGGAAGATCTCCTGGCAGACTTTGAGGGCCCTTCCATCATGGACTGCAAGATGGGCAGCAGGTGGGGTCAGGGACAGCCATGAGGCAGAGGTGGAGGGTCAGGGTGGGCATGCTTGAAGATGGTGCCAAGTCAGCCTTCAGAGTGGTTGTACATACCACCAGCAGGGTGTGAGAGTTCCAGCTGTTCTATTTTCTCATCAACACTTGGTATTCACCTGTTTTATTAATTTTAACCATTCTGGTAAGTGTCTCATTATGGCTTTAATTTCTGTTTCTCTGATGACCAAAGAAGTTGAGTGTTGATTGGCCATGTGAAATCCTCTTTTGAAAAGTGCCTGTGTGAATATTTTGCCCATTTTTCTATTGGGCTGTCTTTTTATTTTTGATTTGTAATTTTTTCTGTATTATGGATACAGGTCCTTTGTAGGAGATATACACACACATATACACACATTCTCCAGCTCTCCCATTTCACTCTCTTAATAGTCTTTTGATAAAGAGAGTATACTTTTAATAGAATCCAGTTTGTCAGTTTTTTTCATGTGTTTAAGAAATGCCTGCCTACTCCAAGATCATGAAGATCTCCTGTTTTCTTATGTAAGATTTATTGTTTTAAGTATTACATTTAGATCTGCAACCCATCTAGAACTAATTTTTATATATGGTGTGAGGTAGGGATCGAGGTTCTTTTTTTCCCCCCATGTGGATATCCTATTGACCCATCCCCTTTATTGAGAGGACTCCCCTTTTCCCACTGAATTGTAGTGCCTTCGTTGTCATAAATCAGGTGAATGTGTTTGTGTGTCTGTTTGTGGACTTGGTTTTGGTCCACTGATCTATTTGTCTATTTTTGTGCCACACTATAGTTTTATAACACGCCTCCAATATCGTGGAGTGTAAGTCCTCCAGCTTTGTTTTCACAATTTCCTTTGTCACATCCTCTGTGTTCCAGGACCTACCTGGAAGAGGAGCTGGTGAAGGCGCGAGAACGGCCCCGCCCCCGGAAGGACATGTATGAGAAGATGGTGGCTGTGGACCCTGGGGCCCCCACCCCCGAGGAGCATGCCCAGGGTGCAGTCACCAAGCCCCGCTATATGCAGTGGAGGGAGACTGTGAGCTCAACCTCCACCCTGGGCTTCCGGATTGAGGGCATCAAGGTGAGGGCCAGGAGCTGCTAGCCTGTCCCTAGAGGGCTGGGAACTGGATCTAGGCAAGACTTCTTGGGGAACATGGGTGTCAGGGAAAGCTGGAAAGAAGCAAGACCTGGAGAGCGAGCAGGAGACTGCGGAGGATGAAAAGCCTGGGGCTAAGAGAGGTCCTGCTCCTCTCACGTCCATATCCATCAGAGACCAAGTTTTGTTTATCCCTCTGCCTGAGCATCACTTGATTCCATCTTTGTCTCCCTTCCCGTGGCTCTGCCCTCGCCTAACCCCCATCTTCTCCTGCCCCAGCCTCCTCTGGTTCATCGTCCAACACAGTAAGCTGGAGTGATCATCTTCCTTATGGAGAAGGATTTCCTTTTTCCTTCTTCCTTCTTTTTTTTTTTTAATTAAATCTCGTGTTTGACTAGGTATTCACAAAGTTCAAAAGTCAAAATCATATTATAAAAGGGTGTACAGGAGAAATCTCTCTCCCAACCCTGCAGCTTCCCTCCCTTCCTTTCCCCTTTAGAGCTATAATAGCTCTTTGTGGATGTGCCACAGTCCCCTAAAGATGGCCACCTGGGTTGTTTGCATTTTCCATTTTTTGCCATTATAAACAATGCCTCAATGGATCACTTTGTACACAAGACATTTTGCTAGTGTGAAGGTTTAGCTGAAGGCTAGATTCCCGGAAGCATGACTACTGGTTCAAAGATGAAATGCATTGGGAATGTTCCTAGAGATTGCCAAACTCCTTCCATAGGTGTTGTACTGTTGTGCATCCCACCAATGACATATGAGAGTGCTTGGGGTTTTTTTTGTTTGTTTGTTTGTTTTTTATTGCGGAATTTGGGGGATGGGAACAGTGCTGGGGAATTGGGGGAAGGGGAACAGACAAGTTGCTGTCGTTTTGTTCTTCAGTCTAGTTGTGGAGGATGTTGCTTCACTGGCCCAAGTTGGCACTATCATTGCGCTCTTCCCGGGCGAGGCAGATTAGTCGCCGGCTTCTGGACGGCCGCTCACGCTGGCTGCTGGCCGCTCACGCTGGCTGCTGGCTACACACGGTAGCCCATGGCAACCCACTGCCACAGGGGCTGCAGCCTACACCGTCGTCGGCGACTCACGGCAGCCCAGCTCCAGGTTGAGCCGTTGTTCAGCATCTTAGCTATAGAGGGCAGTGTCACTGGCCCTCATATGTGGGATCCGAACCGGGGCCCTCTGGCATCCTGAGCCAGTTCTTAACCATCGCGCCACTCGGCCGGCCCGAGAGTGCTTGTTTTCCCGCAGCTTCGCCCGAGCCTTCATTCTAAGTTGCAAATCTGGCTGTGTCATTCTCCTTTTCACAACCATTCCTTGGCTCCTTAGGGCCCTCAAGAGAAGTTCCCTGGCCTAGACAGCCCTCCAGGGTCTAGCCTCGTCTCTCACTCCTTTCTTCCTTCTTGTGTACCTTCAAGCCACAGTGAAGCACTTCATTTCCTTGAAAGGGTCCTGCTCTCTCCTGCCACAGGGCCTCTGCACATGCTGTTCCCTCTGCCAGGACTGTTCCCCTGGTTAGCTCTCATTTTCTTGTCTCCTTTTAAATTTCACTTCCTCCAGGAAGTCCTCGCTACTAGATCAGGGTCCTCTCTTTACCTCCTCAGAGCTCCCTATACTCCTTCATTATTATTATCTCCTTTAGTGATGCTCTTATTCACTCTCTGCCTCCCTCACCTGACTGTGTCTGTCCTGTTACCTCCATGTTACCATTGCCCACATGGCACCTAGCACAGCATGGCAGTACAACTCAGATGGCTTCTCTGTGCCCCTCTCAAACATAAAAAGTAACACTAGTCTCATTTGAGTGCTTGTTTACCATGTGCCAGGCACTGTCTATACATCCTACATGCCTAATCCCCTCTAGTCCTTATACTAGCTTTAGTAAATTCCCATTTTCCAGATGAGGAATCGAGGTTGGAACAGGTGAAGTGACTTGCTTAAAGCCACCCAGCTAGGAAGTAGTAGAGTCACAATTCAAAGCCAGATTTACCCCCATCCAAAGCCCACTTGCTAGAGACTGTCTCAGGCAGCGGGGTACAAGGTTAGACTTGGAAGGACCAGCTGCTCAGGAGTGTGACTTGGGGCTGGATTGATCTGGGCTGGGCAGACGGGCTGGCTTCTGCTGAGCAGCAATTGAGCATGGAGGCAGGCAGGTGGCCCCAGGAGGTGCCTGAGGCTGCTTGGCGTTGGGTGTGGGAAGGAAAAGTTATGACACTGCGCCTTCACCCCTTGCCCTGCAGAAAGCCGATGGGACCTGCAACACTAACTTTAAGAAGACACAGGAGCTGGAGCAGGTGACAAAGGTTTTGGAGGACTTTGTGGACGGGAACCGTGGAATACTGGTGAGCAGGACACCCATGCCCCAAATTTAGCAGCTTAGGACCACTGCCATTATGGTTGTTCCCAAGTCAATGGTCTTTTGCTTAGGGCCGAGATCAGCTGGTGGCTTGGCCCAGTTGGCTGGTCTAGGAAGGCACTGTTCACATGTCCGCTGGTCTCAGCTCATGACTTGGCCACTTGACTCCTATGATCCAGCAGGCTGGTCTGGGCTTGTTCTCACGGTGGAACAGGTGGCCAAGAGAACAAGTGAAAGTGTAAGGCCTCTTGATGGCTAGGCCACCATCATTTCTGCCATGTTCCGTTGGCCACAGCAAGTCATATGACCAGGCCTAGGTTAAAGGGAAACAGACGTTGCCTCTTGGTGGGAGGAGCTGCTAGGGATTGTGGGTACTTTTGTAATCTAATCGCACTATCATCTGTGCCACCCCAATGCACCCCCCCACACCCCTCCCATTTTCCTCATGGCTCCCCTTATCTCATCCTGGCCATGTCTGCTGCTCCTTTGGGGGTACGGGAGAAGGTCAAATCTCAAGGCGGGTAAGGACCTACAAAGTCCCTATGCTAACCAAGAAACCTTCCCTCTCATACACAGAGAAAGTACGTGGTACGCCTAGAAGAACTTCGTGAAGCTCTGGAGAACTCTCCCTTCTTCAAGACCCACGAGGTGTGAACCCCAGCCACCGTGGGAGCAGAGGGCCCTGTGTGTGTGTGTGTGTGTGTGTGTGTATGTGTGTGTGTGTGTGTTTAGGGGCTGTTGGGGTCCAGGTGGCATGAGGGGCAATCGCTCACAGAGTTACAGGCTAAAGCTATTAAAAGGAGACCCCAAGTTTTGGGGTTTGCTTTTTTGGGGTAGGCAGCATAAGGGATCTCAGGGAGGTAGGAGAGTTAGGGGCATGGACTTGAGCCAGGTGGCCTGGGATGAAGGCTGGCTCTGCTGTGTGACCTTTCGGTTTCCTCCCAACTAGGAACAATAGCACCTTCCTTGTAGGGCTGCTGAGGTGTGAGACAAGCAACCAAGCGCCATTGGGAGCATAGAAGTGCATTTAACATCTACCAATAGCTCTTACAATTACTTTGTAATCATAATTATTTACAATTATTGTTATCTGCATTCCTCAGTGGCTCTCCCCCATCCACAGCCTATGTGTCTTTGGAAACATTCACCTCTCTGGGGCTGTGTCGGAAAGTCTGAGAAGTAGTGACAGCACCGCATCTATCTTCTCCTCCCCTCCTCTCTCTAAGCTTTTCCACCTCCCCCTCAGACCCATCTCCCCTCTTTGTCCTATTGCTGACTTCCGGAAGAGCCCTGATCTGGGCATCAGGCTGGCCTGGGTTGGAACCCCTGCAGGATGGGGTAACAGAGGACCTGCTCTCTGGGCATGGGAAAGGTTAAGTGCATTAATATAGGGAAAGTGCGGCCCATAGTAAACCCTCAGTGTGTGTGGCTGTTACTGTCATGTTTCTTATCCTCAAACGTCCTCCTCATTGTTCTTGTCACTGCCTTTACACACAAGTCACAAAAAGGCGGCCTGGGGATCCCATCTCTTCTGTTCTCATGTTTGGTTTCACCTGCCTGGTGACTTAACATTTTGAAAAAATGAGTCACCAGCATGTTTTTAAAATGTGAGACTGCACACCAAAATTGGGATTTCTAGTTTCCCCTGGGAGATGTGGCAACACTGGACCACTTGCCACATGCCAACAGCCATGCAGGGCAGGGCAGCGTCTCCCTCTTCTCATAGGCACCCACTCGCCTGTCCTGTCCTCTGGGTTCTCTGGAGGCACTGCAGTTTGAAACCCAACTAGAAAAAGAGAGGGGTGTGCAAACCTGGAGTTAGATGAAGGCAAGGAAAGTATTTATTAGAAAATCAAAACCAGCATCTCTGAGGGTTCCAGCCCCACAGGCAGCTGATGAGTGCATGGATCATGGAATGCTGCTAACGACCCCAGGAGGTAGGGCTGTGACCATCATCCCCATTCTACAGATGAGGAAACCGAGGCCTGGAGAAAGGGGGCCTAGGTCACCAGCAGCAATCCTCTGGGGCTGTGTAGTGGCTGCCCTTTCCACAGGGAAGACATGACCCACTTCCTTAGTCCCCCGTGGGCTGCTCTGACCCACCCATTCAGGATCCTGGAGGCATTTGAGTTTGTACCTCAGCTTGAAAAAGGGTACTGGTTAACATCTGCCGCACAATTGCTATAGAGGCAACTGTTCTAAGTGCTTTGTATAATGAATACATGTAATATGCACAGCAACCTGTGAGGTAAATGGTACCATTATTCCCACTTTGTATATGAAGAACAGAGGCTCAGAGAGGTTAAGTCACCTTCCCAAGGCCACACAGCCAATAAGAAGCAGAGGCAGGATTTGAACCCAGGCAACCTGGCTCCAGAGTTCATGCTGTCAACCACCCTGTTCAGATGCCTCCTGAGGGGACCTTGGCCAATGCCTCCTCTGCCCCCTAACCTCCCACCTCTCTCCCTGCAGGTGGTGGGCAGCTCCCTCCTCTTTGTGCACGACCACACTGGCCTGGCCAAGGTTTGGATGATTGACTTCGGCAAGACAGTGGCCCTGCCTGACCACCAGACACTCAGCCACCGGCTGCCCTGGGCTGAGGGCAACCGTGAGGATGGCTACCTTTGGGGCCTGGACAACATGATCCGCCTTCTTCACGGGCTGGCCCAGAGTTGACCCACTTGCCCACTGCCAGGTTTATTTATTGGATGATACCCGCCTGGCTGGAGGAGCCCTGAGGTGTGTGGGGGCCTAAGGTTGGCCATGGAGCCACTGACCTCCAGGACAGGAGGTTGTATTGTACATCATGCAAGACCAGTGTGGAAGACCTGAAGGGCTTTGGAGACCAGGTCGCACCTGGCCCTTTCATGATACAGGAACTGGCGAGCGGACATGACATGGCTGGGTCCCACTGTATGAGTCCACCACACTGGGTCCACTGACCGGACAGGAAGGTTTCTGAGGGGCTGCTGGAAGCCACAGATAAACCTTGCACCCTGAAAGAACACCATCCAGATGCTGTAGGGTACAGGCCGGACACCACGCCTATCCGTATGACTAATCACTGCGTCCTTGTCAGCCTCCTTTGGCGGCCAAGCTGGCTCCTGAGGCCAGGGGCCCGTCAGCTTCATCTGTGGTGCCCCAGGACCACACATCATTTGTGAACAAATGTAGGAGGGTTTGTCTGCCTGGGAGAGTTATGGCCCCATCCCTTCATCTGGGTGACGTTCAAGTGCTGACAGAGGCTCTGAGGAGGGTGATACCATGGGACTGGCCTGAGAACTGACGTTGGTTGGGGCCCAGTTCACCTTGCCCTGCCCACCTATGGCCCTTTGGGATCCTCCCTGCTCCTGGGGGAACTCTGCTGACCCCCCTGCAGACCAAAACCATGACCACATCGTGTGCTAGCACCGTGACCAGCACAACCTCATTCCTCGGGCACCATCTCATTTTTGGGACTTCCTCCTAGCTGAGGCGGCAAGAAGGGCTTTCAGGGGCAGGGTAGCAGGCTTGGGAATCAGAGTTGCCTGCCTTGGGTAGCTACCATTCCACCCCAGGCCACAGGCTTAGGGTGGGTGGGGCTGCTGGTTGTGACCCCAGGCTCACAAACTGGTCCAAACCAAAGACCCCAGCACCCTGAGATGGGGGATGCCCCTCATCCGTCTCCTCCTGCACCTGTAGCCTAGCTTCCTGGCTTCCACATGGCTGGGCTAGGGGAGGACAGGCACATCTCTCTTAAGCCAAAGCTCAAACGTTGTCTTCCAGGGCTGAGGAAGCACACTCCTTTTCTACTGACCTTTATACTTATTTATATGAGGCAGGTAGTTGTTAGATGGGGCAGCACTGGGGAACAGAAGGCAGTATCGGTTCTACCCCCCCATGACGACTCCCCAATAAACAGACATTCAAAGTCAGCATCGTGGAATTTTTTTCTTTTGCATCTGGGGTGTGTGGGCTCAAAACTAATCTGAGCATTAGCTTGGCGTGGGGTAACGGGACAGTGACCAGTTTGGGATAGAGATGCGGGCTCCGAGTGCTCACTGAACTGCTCCTCTTGTGCCTTGCTCTGTGCTAGACAAGGCAGGGGACACAGTGGTGACCAAGATAGTGCCAAGCCCTGCCGACGGGCTGCCAGGACAGTGTCCCAGTGTCAAGAGCTGGGATGGGGAGGTACAGGTGGAGGGGTCAGGGTTGGGATGGGGTATTCCTCACTTCTGGTTAGAAACACCACACTGTATAGTCTAAGTCCCTTTGTTGGGCACTGGAGACACAGCAGTGACTAACACAGGCCCCTTTCAGATCTCGAAGTCTACGTAATCGTAATCGCATACCTATAGGTCTGCGGAGGTACTAACTGCCTGATTTGAATCCTGGCCCTGCCACTTGCCGGGCCATGTGACCTTAGGCCAGTGACTGCACTCCTCCAAGCCTCAGATCTCTTCATCTGTAAAATGGGGACCTAGTACCTTCCTTACAGGATTGGAGGATTTGACGAGTTCACTGGGGGTAAAGGGGCTGGCACATTGAACTGCTTTTAAGTTTTTAAGTTAGAACATGGGGAGGGGCCTAGCCCTGGCTGAGGGAACCTTCCCTGAGGAAGTAATGAGCCAAGCTGGTTCGGGGTTCAGAACAAGTCACCCCAGATGTGCCTCTGTGGTATGTGGATTTTGAGCTTAAGGCAACCAAGAATCTGTGGGCTCATGAGAAAACTCTGTCCCACCCGCCCTTAACTACCTAGAAGAATTTGAATTAGGGGACTTGCCCATAATAACAGATTATCAGATGTTGTTTTGTACACCTGAAACTAATAGTAATAAAAAAAGTTATCAGAGGTAAATTTTTTGACCTATCTATAGGGCAGGGCAAACTTCTAATTGAACACCTGCTCTTCTTATCCTGCAATGACCTTCCTCCAGCTGAAGCCCAAAGTGATCCTTAGATCATTTTTCCTGTCTTGGAACTTCTCATGTGGGGTCTCTGACTCTCTCATGTATGTGGGGTTCCCCATGTGTACATGTATTAAATTTGGTCATTTTCTCATTATTCTGTCTCATGTAGATTTAATTATGAAACCAGCCAAAAGAACCTTGAGGGGAGAATTTCTTCCTCTCCCACACTGGAGAAGTTAGGAAGTGACCCTTAGCCTCACCACTTAGGGCTGCAGTGGGGTGCACTAGGGACCTGAAAGGCAGTATAGCTGGTGGCAGAGAGTGTGAGAAAGAACAGCCTGGGATGAGGAGAGGCGGGCTGGGCTGGGGGAGTTTAGTCCCTATCCTGTGAGCAACAGGAGCTGCTAGAAGTTTCTCTGCAGGGTTGTGGGGAGACAGGGTTTTTGTTTTCCTCCCTCGGTCCTGGCCCCATGTGAACAGACACTGGGGAGCAGCCAGGAGGCCCGGTGAGGAGGCTGTGGCAGATGTCCAGAGAGAGGACGACGGTTTAGAAGAGGGTGGTCACCAGTGAGAAACAGATGGACGCAGCATTCACGTGGGCTGGACAGGACACGGGGTCTGAGCTGTTGTCCGTCTCTCCCCTGGGAGAGGGAGCTTGCCTGTCAGGCTTCTGGCTCTCACCCCGGCCCACACAGTAGGTGCTCAACACTCAGGGGATGGGCTTGAGGGTGGGGGAATTGGGGTGATGGCCAGGCTTGAGACTGGATGGGTTGGAGGGGACCCTGCATGAAGGATGACTGACAAGGTGCTCAGGAGGCCCAGCCCAAACCCTCTGGCTGTCACACAAAGGGAGAAGCAGGGGTCTGGGCCCTGACACCCTGGCTCAGGGCTGCAGCAGACTAGTGGCTGGAATCCTGTGGTCTGAGGAGCAGGGCCTGGCCACAGAGGCCAGCCCGCACCCCGCCAGCAGGCACCACATACTCCCGGCCATCGGCAGCCCGTGAAGGTGAGAAGTCCGTCAGCTGCAGGTTGCTATCCCGAATTTGGTTATAGTCCCACAGTTGGTAGTGCCAACTCTTGCCCTGCTTGGAGAGAAGGTAGACGGCTTCTGGTGAGCCTTCATCAGGCAGGGATGGTGGCTGGCAGGGCGTGCCGGGCATGGGGTGGAACAGGCCTGGAAGCTCAGGGTCCTCTGCATAGCCAGGGCTTGGCACACCCTGCACACCCAGCAGGACTCCTGTGACGAGAGGGGAGGCTGTGAGTGGGGGCTGAGCCCTGACAAGGTGCTGAGGCTCACTGCGTTCTCCCCGATGCCCTCCAGGGTAGGTGCTGCCTTGCCCCATCTTACAGAGAAGTCAGCCAGGGCCAGTGGGCACACAGCTGGGCTGGGATTTGGAGCTGAGCTGCAAGCATTTTAAGTCCTGCCTCCTACAGCCTGTCAGCACAGGGAAGTGGAGAGGCGACATTAAACAGAGCAGACATTGTCACCCCGTTATCTCCAGCTGTCCAGGAGGGAGATGCTCAGAGTGGAGCCTTCAAGGCCAAAGCCCTGCAGGGGCCGAACAGAGCCTTGATCCAGGTCATCTGATGCACACAAATCTGTCCTTCCAGGAAGGTGGTCTGACGACAATGCTGGTCATAGCTAACACTTACACAGACATGCAACATATAAGGCACCACTGTCCTATGAGTTTTCTGTGCCCTGCCTATGAGGTAGTCCTATAGCCCTCTGAGGTGGGTACTACCGTCACCTCAATTTCCAGGTAAGCCCATGGAAGCCCAGTCAGAGCCTGAAAGTGGCAGGACTGGACCTGGAGTCCAGACTGTTTGATCTCAAAGTCTCCAATCCGAACTTGTCTATGGAAACCCCGACTGGCAGACACTGAGGCACCTGCTGCTGCTAAGTCCCTGATAAGTACCCTGTGGGGACAGGGATGGCCCAGCCCTGGTCCCTGTCTCAAGAGTAGTAGGGAGGTGGTCGTGCAAGGAGGAGAATGTGAGGAGGTGCGATGGGGGATGGGGAGATGCAGGGTGAGGGCACGGGGACAGAGGGGGGACCCACCTGTGCTCACTGCCCAGTGGGCCTTGTGGCCCTTCTTCTGACATGGCTCGTGGTTGAAGTCCTCATCATAGCTGGTGCTGGGGTTAAGGCCAAAGCTGTGTGTGGCCCTGGGGCCCACCCAGCTCCACCCAGCCCTGATCCCTTCCTGCCCCGGGATACGGGATGAGCAAGGGGTGTCCAGCGACAAGGTGCTGCAGCACACGGTCTCTGTTGGGACCACCCAGGCCGCCACACAGCAGCTCTGCCTGGCATCCCAGTGCCTCCTGAGCCAGCCTGCCCATGTCGACCACTACAGGGACAAAGCAGACAGAGCGAGGGGTCAGTGTGTGCCTGGCACTATGCCAAGGGCTTGCCGGGATCAATGCCTCTAACCTTCACCATGACATCACCTCTTTCTGCAAACGCAGAAAATGTGGCACAGAGGGTAAGCTGCTTGTCCAGGGTCACACAGGAGGAGGTGGCAGAGCTGGGCTGGGAACCCAGGCAGCCTGGCTCCAGAGTCTACTTGTAACCCTCTTGTCTACTGGATGGGGTGAGGGGCCTGAGGAATGGAACAGGTCCATGGTTGGCAGTGTCCCACCCGCCTCTCCAGTCCCTTCCTGGTGAAGAACGCCTGGCTTGTGACCCTTCTGCACCCAGCTCACCAGAGAACATCTCTCCCTGGGCGGAGTAGCCTCTCTCCACGGCCATCTGCATGAGTCTCTCCAGGGGGATGCCGCTGGGGGGCACCAGGAGCGTGCCTGCCATCCACAGGGCCACCAGTCCACACCTGGGGAGAGACAGGCCCAGCCCCTCAACCCAAGTCACAGTCTTTACTGGGCCCCCTCTGCTCTGGAAGCTGAGGTGTGGGAACAGGTTGGCTGTCCTGAGGAGCTCCCCTCACCTTGCCCAGGCCAGGTGGGGAGACATGACTCTTCTTCATGGGAGAGTAGTGGCCAAGGCTTGAGCCTAGGGCCAGAGGGCTACAGGTGGGGTGGAAGGGTAGGGAGAGATGTCACCTGGGCTTCCAGAAGGAGTAGGTGCCAAAGCGGAGCTAGAGGTGATGGACCGTGCTCATTTGTTCACTTGCTCACCAGTTCCAACTGTTTACTGCACATGCACCCAGGGCCCAGAACTGGTAAGGTGCCCCTCTTCCTCCCCTCCCCTCTTGGTCCTCAGCACTCTGCCTGGGATGAGATGAACCCCCCCACACACACCCCCCAAGGTCAAGCCTCATGGAGCACAGCGAAGGCAGGGGTTAGGGGATGCATGGGCAGCCAAAGGGTTGGGTTCTGGATCAGGGAACGTACTGAGGGCCTTCTTGGATGAGAGAGGGCAGGTCGGCACAGAAGAGGATCCACTGCAAGTCACTTCTGAATCTGAATCAGAGCCACACTCAGGTCACTCAGGAACCAGCTCCTAGAGTCCCCTCTGAGGTCTGGCTGGGAGCGGGTGCCAAAGGATGGCGAACGGCAGGAACACAGGCCAAGCTGTCCAGAGGCCTGAGGGCAGCTCCTGGCTGGGTCACTGCCCACTTCACCCACGGCACTTGCCCTCCCCAGCTTCAGTTTCCTCATCTGCTCAGTGGTAATGACCCTTCTACCTGCGGCTCCCTGCTCCTTCTCTCAGTTACTGAAGGGGTGAAGTGCAGACGTGCAAAAGCTTTGCAACTAGAAACCAGAATGATTTATTAAAGGAAATTTCTTGAAGGAGTATCTCTGTACCCAAACTCTGATTTTTCTCCTTTAAGCCTATTTCTCAAGTTGTTAAATAAGGTGAAAATCCCTTAAATCAGCCTTGAGTAAAACCAGATAACGAGCTCCAAGCCTAGAGATCTCCTTGTTCATTAGCCCTTTGTGGGCCTGCCCAGTCCCACCCTTGGGAAGGCCACTCTGATTCATTCCTCCCCGATCCAGGGCACAGGACGGGCAGCGAGGTGTGCCTGAATTTTTATTCCAAGGACAGTGAAAGGGCATGGCTGGTGTGGGGGGTGCCCTCCTCACGAAAGGAGATGACAGCACAGCATGGTGATTAAAAGAATGGAGCCCCCCTGACAGAGTTCAAACTGGGCTCTTCTACTACGCACTGTGGCCAAGTGACTTCACCTCTATGAGCCTCAGTTTCCTCACCTGGAAAATGAGATAATAGTTTCCACCTCACCGAGTTGCTGAGAGGATGAAATACGTACTTAGAAACACTTACAATAGTGCCAGACATATGATAAGCATGCAATAATGTGTGTTCTCATTTACATTAATTTTGTCTCATTATAATTGGGGCATTTAGGGCAGATTATTAACTTGCCTAGAAAGCTGGAAGTTTCTTAGGAGTCTGGGCTAGTTACTTCTTTCTCTTCCCCTTAGCCAGGCAATCTTTAAACTGGGTCCCAGAGCCCCAGCCAATGCTAGCCCCCTTACCTCCTGCCAGGGTGGGTCCCTAGGTGCTCCAGCTTCCTCCTCAGCCCCCAGAGTCCAGTCTCACCACCTCCACTCCCAATAGGTAGCCTCCCTCCCCCACACAAAGCCTTCCCATGGCTCCCTGGTACCCTCAGGATAGTCACCTTCCTTCGCATGGCCCTCATTCCCTACCCACTCATGAAACCCCGTGTTTTGCTCTTTCCCAGCTAAAGACACATTTGCAAGGCCTTAAAAAGCATGTATCTTCATTTCACTCTGGTCTCTGCACAAGCTGCTTACTCTCATCAACACATAACCTTGATAACTTGCTCAACAGCACTCAGGGGTCCTCCTCTCCACGTAGGCCCCCCCGACTCACAGTCTGGGTCAGCACCCGCTCTGACCACTCTGGGTTGTTACCGTCTGGTTGGATGGAGCTATCGGTCTCTCCCCCTGGACTTGGTGTTTGTGAGGGCAGGATCTTTCTTCATGGCTAAAGGCACACAACCACTGAAAGGGTCTAAGTAGGGGGCTGAAGCAGTCAAGCTGTTTGACCTTGAAGAAAGTAGAAAACCCCAAGAGGAGATGGTAGAGCGATCTGGGGACAGGTGGTCTGGTGGGTGGGGTGGGACACGGACACCCTACCGGTCCTTGTGCAGCTTCAGGAGCCTCTTCACGTCCTCTCTGCTCCTGGGGGCTGGGCCGGCCTTCTCCAAGGCCTCTTTCAGAAGGTGGCTCTTCTCCAGGCCGAAGACATGAGGGGGAGCAGTCCCCGTGGCAGGGGCTGGAAGTGGCAGTGGGGGTGGTGGGGGAATAGGGGCCTGGAGACTTGAGGGAGAGGGTGGAAAGGCTAAATTGGGTGAATGTGGAGGTAGGGGAGGAGATGGAATGCCAGGGACCTGGGATGCAAGGGTCCTTGGAGGGCTTGGGGTCTCTTCTGAAGGGAAGTATGGAGAAATCATTTTTGGGTCTAAGGTATGGGCTGGAAGAATGGGAGAGAAAAGGATCCTCCAAAATTGGCTGGTCTCAGGGATAGAGATTCTGAAGGTTTTAGAGTGGGGTTCTGGAACTGGGGGGCTGAGCAGTGGGATTGAAAGAACTAGGGCTAAAATTTGGCACCATGGGAGCAGGGATTGGAGCTGACTCAAATCATGAGGGATCTGAAGATTAACAGGGCGAGGCTCTTTAAACAGGAACCAGATTTGTGGTATGCAGTTGGGTTGCAAGGCTGAAGGAGGGAGATTTAGTAGGAATTCATTTATTACCCAGGGCTAGACTTGGCAACTTGGGGGCCAATTTTGGAAAATGAAGGCCCAGACCTGGGGTGAGGCGCCTACAGGGTGGGTTTTAGAGGCCCAGGGCTAAAGACTACGTAGAATTTTAGGCTCTGTCCCTCCTCACATCCCAGGCCCGAGTTCGGAACCTTCCAGCTGACCTTTGAGTTAGAGGTCAAAAGGACATCGGGAAGATTAAATGGCTTAGTTGTGGAGAAGATCCTGGAATCAGTGCGCAACACGAAAAGTCTGTGGGATAAAGAAGGTTCAGAGATCAGAGGCGGTAGGTAGCCGCGGTACAGCGGGAATAAGGAAAAGAATCATGGCGAAACACACCTCCACTTCCCGCAAAATGGCGGCCAAGTGCACGCCCTCTCCCATATCACGTGGTAGGGCTCGCACACGGGCCCGCCCCTTTAGAGATCACGTGACAGAGAACGCGGGGCGATGGGAGAGAGGTGGGGCTTCCAAAGGACTGCCTCCGGAAGAGACTGCAGCGCGAGCCACGTCCTGATTGGCGAGAGGCGCAGCCTTTACAGATTGGTCCGTAACCCGGAGCGCCGCAGAAGGTGGAGGACTTGCAGGGGTTGGGAGGGATTTTCTTGACAAGGCGGGAACCCAAGTGCCGTTTTGATTGGCAAATTCTGGGCCGAGATTGATTGGTAAGATCGGGGCAAGACTTACTCTGATTGGTCAAGCTAACGCATTTACGTGTAGTGGTTGGGTCGCAGAAAGACAAAGGCGGGGCCAGAAGAGGAAGCTTCGTGGTCGCCACTCAGAAACGTAGCAGGCACCGCTTGCCGGAGCTGCGGCTCTGTTGGTGAGTAATCTCGGACGCAGGCAGCCATCCGCATCGGGTGGGCGGAGCGCTTGGCACCTGGGTCTTTTTGAGCCTCGTGTGGGCAAACTTTTCCCGCCGCGCGAGGTTAGGGCGCCACAGAGTCCTCCCTCCTTTCTTAACTGGCTTTTACATCCGGGTTTTTTCTCCTGGGCCGGCTTTGAGCTCGTGGGCCAATGGGAATTGCCGGTTAGGACGTTCCGCCTATTGAGCCGCGTAGAGCATCTTGGGACTCGTAGTAAACTTCGACGTTTCCCTCACCACGCGGGGGGACAAGCGGTATACTGCCTTTGCTTTGTTTTCCAAGCTGTGCTCTCCTCTTGCCTTGTTCCCGCCTTACCTGATCTCCTCCTGGAAGGAAGATTCGTTAAGATCTAAGCAGCCTATTAAGTCCGCTTTGGGACAAGGAATTTGGAGAAACTCAGGGTTGAAGTTCTGTTTTTCCTTCTTTCAGCCCTACCTCAGCGCTTGACTCCATGGCAGTTCCCGAGACCCGCCCCAACCACACTATTTATATCAACAACCTCAATGAGAAGATCAAGAAGGATGGTGAGTTTTTGAGGGAGTCCAGCCTCCATGCTGTCCCTTATGAGTCGGCTACTTCTCTTCCACAACCTTCCCCAGGGCAAAATGTTAACCCCTCGGCCTTTGCACGTGCTGCTTCCTCTGGCTTTAATACTCGCCCAGTTCATTTTACACTGTACTCATTAACCTAGTCACTGTTGCTCATCCTTCAGGGTTTTAGCTGACAAGAGCCCTCCTCCAGGAAGCCTTCCCTATCTGCCTTCTCCTCAGGTGCCTGCCTCTAACATCCTATAGACCCTGGGTGTGCCACCCCTGCCCCCGCCCGCCCCTTCAAGCTCTGATTGCCTGGGCTGTCATGGGGCCCTCTCCACTGGCCTGTGAGCGCCATGAGGGCAAGAACTGGGATTGGCTTGGTCACTGTTGTTTTCAGTGATCAGCCAGCAATGAAAATGAAATGAATAATGACGACTAACACTATATGAGGGGCTGATATGTAAATCTTGATTACATTTAAATTTTTTTTTTGATTACATTTAATTTTTACCACAACCCTGCAGGTAGGAGCTAATCCATTTCTCAGATTAAGAAACTGACTTGCCCAGGGTCACACAGCAAATAAAAAAGTGGTTGAGATCACCAGTGTGGAATTCTGCTTCACTTAATTCTTGACATCAGACATACTTTTTCGTTTTCTTTAACAAGTTATCACCTTTTTTGAATCTCATTTTCTATATTTGAAAACCTGGCAAAATCATAATACCTTCTTTGTATGGATGTTGCAGGGATTAAATTAACTAAGTCTCCATGCAATGCTTCTTTTTATGGTACCTAGCAGTTAGTAAGGGCTGGTTAAATGTTAGCTCTGATTATTATGTCAAGAAAATTGTGGGGGAACCAAACGAGATTGCTAGGATTAAGTTTGAGGTTACCGATAAAGTTGCTGTTGAAAACAAAATAAGCCGTGTAAATCACCCATATGCTTTTAGAGCGTGGTGCTCAGGCAGTATCCTGTGGTGCCTGGTGACACACTGGTGACTATGACAGTCCTGGTCCTTTCTTCATGGAGCCACAAATCCTGTGGGGATGAGAGACCTGCTACCAGACAGTGATAGCCCAGAATAGCCAGGGCCATGAGTGGGGAAGCACAGGGCTGGGATTGGGCACTGAGAAAGAGGCATTCATTGCGTTTTATAGAAAAGATATTTTAGAAAAGCTTTCCGGGTAGAGGAAGCAGTGCAGTTGACCCTTGAACAACACAGAGATTAGGGGTGCTGATCACCCATGCAGTCAAAAATCCACATATAACCTGAGTTGGCCCTCTACATACACAGATTCCTAACTGTGGATCAAAAATCGTATTTATGTTATAGTGAGGGAGAAGAGTGCTCCTAACCCGAACCAGCATGTGCAGATGTCTAGGGACAAAAGAGCCTGGGGCATTCTGGGAACTACAGATAGTTGTGTGTGTGCCTGTGACTCAAGTAGAAGTTTCCAGTGGGCAGTGCCCTGATGGCTCATGGGGCCTTATGGGCAGGATGAGGCGGTGGACTTCGTCCTGAGGGTGTGGGAAGCCAGGCAAGGAACTCAGTTAATTGTGAAAGAGCTTCCCAGCTGTGGAGGGAGTGGGCCAGAGTCCAGGGGGATGACTGAGGCCCAGACTGGATTCATGGGGATGATGGATGGAAACAAACCCCAGAAATGTCATCAGGAGAATTTTGGCTAATTGCTTCAAAACACCTCTGCTTTCCCTCTGCTCTCCCCACTGCCCCACACGTTTTCTTGATTCCCCTACTATCTTTTTCATCGAGCATCTTCATCTCAGATACCTTCTTTGCGTAAGATTGGTACCCTGTTCCAGCTGCCAAGTGAAGCTTGGGTCCCAGTTCCAGCTCTATAGGATCTTCCCAGAATCCTTGGGATACTCCTGGGCCAGCGACAAATCCTCTGAGAGCCTGTTTCCATGGTAGTAAAAATGGGACAGTTGTAGTTTCTACCTCAGGGGGTGGTTGTGAGAATTTAGTGACTTTTCCTTAAAACACTTAATGGTATCTATTCATACAAATGTTTTTGGAGAAGTTGGTGTGCTAGAGTCTGCACTGAGCATGGGGATGCTACGGTAAACGAATACTTACCTTCAGAAGGAGAGCCGGACAACAAATATACAAATGTCAGGAGGTGGAAAATGCCATGAAGGAAAAGCAAGTAGGGTATGAGGACGGGGGAGAGTGACATGAGGGGCATTTCTTTAACAGGGTGGTCAGGGCAGGCTGCTGAGGTGGCAACATTTCTGCTGATACCTGGGTGACTAAAAGGAGGCAGCCATGTACACATCAGGAGAAAGGTGTTCCTGGCAGAGGGAGTAGCCAGTGTAAAGGTCCTGAGCCAGAATTGGTGTGACGGGCCTGAGAGAGGGGAGGCCATTGTGGCTGGACATAAGGGCATGAGGTGGAGTGTGGGGAGAGATGAGGTTGGAGAAGTCGGCCAGTGCCACATCACATAGGCCGGTGTCAAAGTGCTAGTGACTAGGAAAGAAACGCTCACATTTCTGGAGCATTTGCAATGTGCACTTTGTATGTATGACTCTTTTTCCTCATACAGTCCTACCCTGTGGGGTAGGAATTGTTACTGTTGCTCTTTTACAGAGGTGTGCTCACCACCACTTGAGTGGTTTTGGCTGCTACTGTTATTTCTGGCTTTTAAGGGATTTCTGACCCACTGCATTCTGGGTACCTGTTGGTTGGCTGATGGTTTCCCTTCTGGGCTGCACTTTCCTCTGAAAAAGGGAGTGTAAGACTCAGGACATGCTGCCAAGGCCTCTGGTCAGCCATGGGTCTTTCCTTTTCCCACTGCAGAGCTGAAGAAGTCCCTGTACGCCATCTTCTCCCAGTTTGGCCAGATCCTGGATATCCTGGTGTCACGGAGCCTGAAGATGAGGGGCCAGGCCTTTGTCATCTTCAAGGAAGTTAGCAGCGCCACCAATGCCTTACGCTCCATGCAGGGTTTCCCCTTCTATGACAAGCCCATGGTGAGCACTGTGGGTATGGACGGTGTGTGTGAAGTACTATCGGAGATGGGATGGGACCGGACCTCCTGTCACCTGTAGTCCAGTCCCTTAAGGACAGGAGTTTCTCTTGCTATTCCTCAGCGTTCACTGTTCACTGTACTGGAGTATGGGGACGCACAGTGACCAAGGGAGCCCTCACCCCTGCCCTCCCAGACCCACAGTGCTGTGAGAGACAAGCCTGTCACCAGATGGTGACGACCCAGAGGGTTTAGGGCCAGGATGGGGGAAGTGCACAGAACTGGGCAAACTTAGGGGAGGCACCTCACCCAGGCTGGGGTTTCAAGGAAGGCTTTCTTGCTGAGGTGAGACTTGAAGGAGAAGAGTGTTGGGCAGAAGGACCACATGGACTAAGGCCTAGAGATAACCAAGAATGTATGTAACTGAGGAAGCAAGGCAAGTTCATTTGGCTGGAGTGAAGGGTGGGAGGTGGTGGGGAGGGCATGACCTGGAGAGCATATCCAAAGTCAGGCTAAGAGGCTGAAGTTTGTCCTGAAAGTGGAATTGACTCCAAGGCTGCTGGAGAGCCATGGGAGGGTTTAGGGAGATGCCTGTGGCTCTTGGGTAGAGTGGATTGGAGGAGGGAGATTGGATCCAGTTTTGAAGGAGAGGCTGGGTCAGGCTCCCAGGTGGAAGGGGTCGGGCAGGGACCAGGGCAGAGGCCGTGGGATGGGAGGAAGTAGGGAAGGTTGCAGATGTTCACAAGGCCAAGTGGATGGCTGAGGGATCGGTCTAGTCTGGGAGGTGAGGAGTGGGTTAAAGTCCCTGCCCTGAGGTGCAATTCCTGCCATATCACTGGCAGACATCTTTGGTCTTTGGGCCTTTTCCCTTGTCCCTTAATTGGTTTTCAACTTTGACCTGGCTGAAACGTGCTTCCCTGAACCAGTTTCCTTAGAGAGGTGACAG